GAAGAAGACTAGCAGTATGCAGCCGAAACGTCGCGATCTACATCACACGTGACTACATCGCGAGACAAACGAAAAACTTAGCTTTTATTGTTATTCACCACGATGAATAACCACCACCTTTTCTGCTTGGATATTTTCTTCTGAATTGAGTCACACCCTCAGAATTTCATTATCAATTAAGAACGATAAATCCGTATATGTAGCACAAGTGAAGCACATTTTAAACTCTCCACGCGATGTTAGGAACCATACTTGATTGACTTTCGACGGAAATTGGCCTGGCAAAACCCGTTGATTATTTTATTACTTGGTAGCCCACAAAAGCCCGGTCTATGACTGTGGAGGTGTTGAACGTGATATGTTTGATACACAAGACACCCTTCAAGGAGGAAGGTTACAATATACCGGTAATTGCTTTTGCGAACGTATAGTGCACCCGGTTTGCATATGTACATAATTGCTTAAAAATACCTTTTGTAGCTGTTTTCTGAAGCATAGAAATGTAGATATGCTTTTGCTTTAATTATTTTATTGTGACGAGAAACTTTTTATGTAAGAGTTATCCATTCCTTTCATTTCCTTTCTGAACTGCCTGCAAATAATTAAATTTTGTTTTAATTCAAGGGTGACAAGATAAACCAGAAGTGGTGTAGAGTTCTCTTTCCACAATGAATTCAGCTGAGAAGATCAGTAAACTAGTTAGTGTCATATACTTCTCCTGAATCTTTAATTTTATTTCCCTGTTTTTTCCCACAAAGCCTCTTTTATATCTCTGTATGCTGGCTAATGATTGAAATCTCAGTGATATGCCATATTTAACAAGTTTGTCCAAAATTCCATCTTTTAAGTTTTTGGCATTTACTATTTCAAAATTCATGAATGGTACTCTTTTTTCATCCTTGCCAAGAGGTATTACACATTTATTTCACTAGAATCTGAATCATGAAGTTAACTTAATTTCAACGAGTTTGAAACTTCATTCTACACAAGAACACTTTCCTATAGTGTTATATTTATTTGCTGTATTTCTTGTACATATGATTACCATATTTGTCTTAACCTTTCAACTCCCATGAGTGACCAAGAGAGAATTTCTCCTTACTATATCTATACAATATCATGAAGACAAGTGATGAGAATAGAGAAAATTATAAATTGTGGGATTGCTAATTGACTGATACCAAATTCTCCAAACTAACATAATAAGAATCATTTGGCAGACATTTAGGAGAATTACTAATGAGATCTTGGGAGTTAAAGGGTTGAAAATAGGGATTTTGTTATATTGCAATGATTAAAACACTTACTGGTAATGTATGCTTTCAAATGTAAAAAAAATGTGATGAGAATCTGATCTTATGAAACACTTACCATGAAAAAAACCTGTTGCTGTTTGCCTAACATGTATTTAATGTTTAAATTTTCATAGGAAATGCTTTTTTTTGAAAGGGGAGATACAGAAGTTTTCAAAGCTGCTAGAAATAAGCTGTTTGCAAGTAATGAAAAGCAAATTGACAATCATACCTTAGTGCCTGACATGCTTCACACATACATGTCAGTTGTGTATACCTACCATTGGAGAGGTGTCTTTAAAAATAGTTTTTGGTATGGCTGTTGTTCTTTGTTGATCTTTGTAGCCAAAAGAGCCATTAAAGGCACTGAAGTTCAAGTTTTATGTATGCAAGGCACCCTCCAAGGTGGAAGAGTAGAAGACCATACTATGATGTTTATTGGGCACTTTCACTTACCGCAATCATATGTTCAAGCAATACTCTACTTTCATAAAACTGATTACATGATATGTCTATAATAACTGTGCACAATTTATATGCTCCTGGCATTTGTTGGTAATGATAGTTAAGACTGTTGGGAAAGCAAACAAACAAATGAACAGAAGAGAGTGAAATGAGGGAAACTATAAACTTTATCACATGATAGAAAAAAGACCACAGAATACTAAAGAAGGGAAACTTGAATTGTGCTATAGCTAATTTCCTCTATATCATTAGTACACATTTCTTTTTCTAAGAATCTTGTTTATCCAGCCTATGCTAAATTCTAATTTTCCACCAAATTTTAGCTTCTTTTGAATCTTACATCTCCTGGTATCAGTTAATATTCATGTAATTAAATAATTACATGAAATCTTGCATATATATATATATATATATATATATATATATAAATAAATAAATATTATGAGAGGAAAAAACGACGCAACTACATATCCCGACAAGCCTGTTTCGTGAATCGCTTCACTCTTCAGGGGTTTAATGAAAGAATATTCATGTGACTATCGTTTATATACTAAGAAAATTTACATAATGCGCGGTAAACTTAAAACTTTAAAGTTCAGCTGTTGCGTAGCAACGCTTTGTTTCTGTGTCGGCATGAAGATACGAGTTCGTTACGCTTATTTAGTGATGAGAGGTCGGGTCGGTAAATTATCAGGAATTTCTCTTTTAGGCATAGGTTGCATCTTTTACTGGAGCTGCTGTAGGGAGAGTTAGATGATAAGACGCGCCATGAAATAGAGTAGTCAATGTTGTCGTTCTTGAGTGTCCAGATGTGTTTGCTAAGTTCGGTAGAGTTTTTGTGCTTGGCGTGGCGGAATGATGCGGTGTGATTTCTGTGTCTTGTTTTGAAGTCGGTTTCTGTGAGTCCAATGTATGTTTCAGAGGTGTTGTTGTCGTTCCGTGTGACGGTGGCTTGATAAACGACTGAGGATTGAAGGCAGTTACCATTGAGCGGGCAATTGTTCTTTTGTCGGCAGTTGCATGTTTTGTTGGTTCCCGTGCCGTCTTTGTTGTCTTTTGTGTAAGGTGGGTGGGACGAGTGTAAGATGCGCTTGTTGTGGTTGTCGATGACCTGTTTGGTGTTGTTCATACAGCTGTAACTGATTTTGATGGTGTTGCGGTTAAATATCTTGCGGAGGCTGTGATCTTTAGGGAAATGTTTGTCGATTACCACCAACAACAACAACAACAACAACAACAATTACCACCACCAACACCGCGCCGAGAGACACCGAAAACATAAAGAAGGAAATTTGCCGTATCTTCAACCGCAACGGACTACGGGCGGCTTTGTCGAATGAAGCTTTGTCTGATGAAAGGGATGAAAGTCGTTTGTTGATGCCGGCAGGTATGTTCTTTGTGGTGATCGGTGGATGATTGCTCTCGCGGTGTACGTACTGTAGTGTGGTGTTAGGCTTTGTGTAGGGCTGGTAGGTGCTGTTGTTTAGGTTGAAAGTGACGTCTAGGAAGTTGATGATCTTTTTGTTTGCTTCGATGGTGATACGTAGTCCGTTGCGGTTGAAGATACGGCAAATTTCAAACTTTCGCAGAGCAAGAAGCATGGTAGGCAAATTTTGTATATCAGTAGCTAGAGTTGCTAAGATCATGGACAGTTGGTATGTAGACACCTACTTCATATGCAGCTACAGCAGAGGTTACTGAATTAAATGAATACAGTTTTTATTATAATGAAGGGCTGGAAAATAAACGAACAAGAGCTCCGTTTTTAGGCTTGTATGGCAAACTCTATGTATTACATCCTAACTGATGTAAATGTTCCAGCGACCTTGATCTCAAGCTTGGTCAGTAACGCATTACGATCAATAACTCACATAAATACAGTAATTAATAATTGATTACGATTCCTTTGGCTGAGTGAATTGACATGGGCAGTAATAATTCCCCAGCGATCGTCATAATTTATCTCTGTTATACCAAGCTCATTGTTCTTCAGAAAGAACGACTGATGTTGGAGAAATAGCTTGTACGATCTAGAAATAATTTTATTCAATTCTAAAAGATTTCAAGAGAGTCGTAATTAAAGTCAAGACAGTCTGCCGTTTTCGCTAATGTTTTCAAAGAATCATTATGGGCTTAATGAAGTGTGGTTGCGCGTAAATCTTGCCTTCTGTTCGCTTACAATACTTTTAGTTCAGAAACGATTCTCCAAAGAGAACTGTAATCAAAGAAATTGCAGAAAATAAGCCTGCCAAAAAAATTCAGCCATCGACGTGAGGATTACTGTGCCTACTGGCGCAACAATCTGATTTACGTTACCTCAAGTTGCGAAATGTCTTCGAAAGTTTACGTAAATTAAAGTGTTCTGAAGTGTTTCAGTCAGCAAAGGTGAACCCCCACTTTACACAAAGAGCACAAGACATACCTTGGAGAAGACGAATTTATCTTTAATGGTAGAAGGTTGACATATTTCCTTGTGTCACTACTGGATAATAGCACGGGATCCCAGCACGGGAGTTACTACATCACGGGCGACGAGTAGGGGATGAAGAAAAGACCGAAATACGAGTGGCCAGCGGAGAACAAATTTAGTACTTCATATAGAGACATATCAGTTATAGTTGGGGAAAACAATAGTATTGTAAAGCCGAAATATCAACAGTATACTTCGCTATTATCCAGCAGTGACACAAGGAATAGCACGCGCAGCTCTCATATCCGTGCACAGGGATACATTCACGCGCGTGCGAAACACAGCTGATTGCCGCTAGAATCTGCCATTCTCGATGTAAACTTTTAAGGTATTCGACTTTGCACGCTGGAGAACTGCTGATCATCTTCGTAAAGGAGGGATATCCAAGTCTGCGTCTCACGTAAATTAATTACCTAACTCTTATTACCATAAACGGCCAATCATGAGACATGTAAGATTCGACTTGGAATAAAAAAAACAAACATGACAGCAAAAAAGAGAAATTATGAAGAGAGAACAAAAAGCACTTTGTTAAAAAATTCTTCTTACCTTAAGAGCCATTTTGTTAAATAAGTATTTTGAAAATTATCAATGATTGAAATTTATAAAACATTGATAGGTTGAACTTTAACTTTTTCCTGGAAAGCAATATAAAAATAAACATTTTTCTCGGAGGACACGCTCCTGTCATGTGATTGGAAATGTAAAGTAGGTTCTCATTGGTCAAAATCTCGTAACCAGATCCTTTCGGATCGAACGTAAACATGGTTGACAACGTGTGTGGAATATCGATTTCAAATTGATTATTGTTCCTTGTTATTGCTTCGTAAGCGCTTGAAGCAGGGGTAAATTTTGAAGCTGTGATGAAAGAAAGCGAAACAAGAAGTATCAAACAGAATATTTCTTTAAATAGTCATTTTTTTGGCGACGGAGATCAGAAGTTGTGGTCAAATACCGCACAGTACGAAATGCACATCCGCGAATATGTTCGTCTAAAGGAAATTTAACTTAAATGATATTGGGCATTTGAGGAGGTTATATCGAAAAAACTCTCTATTCTACAGGATTTTTAACGTTTTCAAATGGAGGAAAGTTGCATCGAACGACAAGAAGAGGAGCTTCAAGCTCTTCAAGCTATTTACATGGACGACTTCCAAGATTTGAGAGAAGAGGTATTTCATATATTAAACAATTAACTTAATTGAGTTGGGTGGAAGTCTTGAGAACTTGCCATAAGCGTTAGGGAGCTGTTTACGATCTTGCCTATAATCATACCTATGAACCACATGGTAGTTCAGGTTAAATATTTTAAAAAACATAGGAATTCGCCTGGAACATAGATCAAACTGTGTCAACTTCCAAGATTAGAGAGTATAATGAATAGAAGAGCTATCAAGACACCTTAGAAGGGATTTCAAGACACCTTCATTAGGGAATTTTATGCAGTGTGTCACACTTTCAGTGTGTGTTAGGCCATCACAATAGTCTTAAAGACTAGCATTTTCAAAATGCCCCTTTTTAAAACACTATATGTGTAAGTAATGAAGCTCAGACCTCATTCCTCTTCAAATGTGCTGACAAATCAATTGTGGTTGCCGCTATTTTCAATCTTGCTGAGCAGCCTGGCTGTACGTCTCCATCATGCTTCATCATCTCTCAGGCTCACTTCTAGTTTTCCTCTTCTTGGCAATCTCTTAAAGCTAGAGAGAGTTACACAAAAAAAGCATTTGTAACAGAAATGATGAGGTTATTATTATTATTATTATTATTACTATTATCATTTTGCAATAAGCAGGGCAAAATATATTTGAGTACTGCATGTTGTGATTTTTTCATATTTTATGTGAAACCATAACAATAATAACAATTAACTTATTTTTGGAGCATTTTTTTAACTCTTTAATCCCAGAGGGTTTTTAAACTGACACATAATTTCTCTCTAGGTATCACTGCTAAAGCAAATATTAGTCTCATGAGAATTAATTCTCCTCCTCTGAACAGTATGGAGAATATACATGCTAATCTTAGGGTGTAAAGAATTAAGTCCACTTGGTGTGAAAAACCTTAACTTGCCTGTTATTCTAAAGTTGCAGGAGAAGCATAATTCTTTATTTTATTTAAATTTTTTTTTTTTTAAGTTAAGTGTTCCTTATCATGTAGCTTGAATATTTTATGCCAAGAGAGTTCAATTAATAAATGAGAATAAAAATACTAAGACCTCTAGAACAAGGTTTATTAGACACTTCAATTCAAGAGAATGCATTTGGCAAAGGAAAAGTGCAGGTCTCTGGCAACTGGTTTAAATTTTCTGGCTAAGTTGCAATAGCTTGCACTCTTTTTTGTTCAACTGGGAAGCTGATATTCAATATGTCTTCCCCTTTAACGAAAACCCTGCATTAACTAACAAAATGTTTGTCTTCCTATAAAGCCTGATGAACCTCCAAAGGTTTGTTTAAAGTTGACTCCATTGCAAAGTGTTGTAGCCAAGGAGGTCTATGCCAGAGTTGATTTGATCATACAGTACACAGCAGACTATCCTAATCGGTAAGTATACAGACTCCTTTTAATTTTTTTACAATCATAAGTAGATAAAGGGCAAGAACAAAGCATTTAAAATATGAAATGTAGGTATCATTAAGTTTTTAACCCTTTCACTCCCACAAGTGATCAAGACAGAATTTCTCCTTACAATATCAATACAATATCAAGCAGGTAGGTGATGAGAATAGAGAAGAATATCAATTATGGGATTATTAGTTGATCCAATACCAAATTTTCTGAACTAACATCATCAGAATTGTATGGCAGATAGTAAGGAGAATTACCAATTAGATCTTGGGAGCAAAAAGGCAAGTGAAAAGGTACCCACTGAAGGCTTGGAAGGCAGTAAAGGTAACATACCGGTAGTGCTGATTCTTGCATCATGATGATTGATTGCTCTGTGTCATTATTTAGGAGTCCAAAGCTGTCTATGTGCAATGCTGAAGGTATTTCAGAGGAAGATGTAAATAAGCTTCAAACTGAGCTTCGCAAAATGGCTGCTGATCTTGTTGGTGAGGTGAGCTATACATGTACTGCACTTTTATGTTTAATGTACTCAGTGCCTCACAGTTGCTTCATTGTTGTAGATCAAATGTATGCTAGGTGGAAGTTATTACCCATACTTGTTAAATTATTGTGAAAACAAGGAAGTGAAGGGTTCTCTGACTATAGGTGAATTATTATGCATAAAAATAAATTAAAACAGTTTTAGCATAGATATATGCAAAATTTTTTAGTGAAGTCTGCAAGTACAATTTTTCAAAATGTTGCCTTTTGGAATAATTTTGGTCACTTCCCCTCATCCCCCCCCCCCCCCCCCCCTCCAAAAAAAAAAAAAAAAAAAAAAAAAAAAGAAAGAAAAGAAAGACAAAACCCTGATATCCATGGGAAGACATTTCATGTTCAAATACATGAGTCAGGAAGTGAGCCAAACAGTGTGATTGTAATTCTTACATTTGCCAGCGTGGTATGTTTACTCCCCTGCCAATTAAAATGGTAGAGAAAGAGAGAGAATAAAGTAACTCTGATGTCTGGAAGCAGAAATGATTTACTACAAAGTCGCTTAGACTGAGTGACAAATTGTGTTCAATAAAATATCAGTCTATTGCTCAGCTCAGCTCAGAAACATCTTGCATTTGAACTGAGCAGAATTATTGGTATTAAAACCTTCCATATAGTAAATAACATCTTGAATCACTTGATATCTAGTCACCACATTTCTAATACTGTAAAGCTGAAATACTTAAATGTTAGAACAGAGAAGATAAATTGTGTTCAATAAAATATTTGTCTATTGCTCAGCTCAGAAACATCTTGCATTTGAACTGAGCAGAAATATTGGTATTAAAACCTTCCATATAGTAAATAACATCTTGAATCACTTGATATCTAGTCACCACATTTCTAATACTGCAAAGTTGAACATTAGACTTAAATGTTAATAATGTGAAATGGATTTTATTTAAAAAAAATCAGTTCAACTTGGTAACTGCTCATTTTAGAATTGTGCATATTTGGGAGCTACAGAACATTTTCGGTTTCCATTGGTTCATTTGATAATTTGACCTAGGATTGATAAAATTTTCATCATCTTCTTTTCGTATATTTTTGTTCAAATCAGTTGGTCACCGATTGGCGATTTTTGGTGAAAGTTTAGTCACCAAATATATTTTTCATTTGCCATGGTGACCAAAACAGTTGCAATTTGGAGCACTGCTGTCACATACTGTAACTACAGTTGTATCTTTTTAAGTTTTTCTTGAATTAGTCACATGAACTGGAAATCACACATTCATCATTAAGTTAGCAAATTTTTTAATGCTACTGTAGCCCTTCAACTCCTAGAAGGGATCCACCTGTAACTTCCCCCTATGGTATCTGTATGTTATCCAGCAAACAGGAAATGAGAATACTAAAACTTATAGTTATCCTGATCTAACACCAAATTCTTTTAGCTTACTTGCATGTAGGAGGAAATGTGTAGCAGCTAGAGGGGAGAATTTACAATCAGATACATATATGTATTATGGAAGTTGAAGGGGCTTATGGAAAGTAATTCACAAATGCAATAGTTTTGCTCAAGATGGTCAGTTGCATTTTTGCGTCTTTCAGAGTGTTTTTTTTTTTTCATGGTCTTTTTACTTATACTTAAGTTTCCACGATTTGACTCTTAGTGGTCAATTTTTTTTTTTGCATTCTGTTTGGCTTCTTTCCATTTACTTTGCTGTACATTGTTCAGTGGAAATTAATTTGAATTTCAGTGCCAATGGCATTGGGTGAAGTTCAATCTATTTATTATGTGAAATTTTCTTACTTAAATTTCATATACTGCTTCGCAGGTTATGGTTCTGCAATTAGCACACCATGTTCAAACATGTCTTCACCAACACAACAAACCGCAGTTATCATTTTATGATAAAATGATGGCTGACAAGCGTAAAGAGGAGGAGAGACTCCAAGCTGTTGAGCGTCAAAGACTGCAGATGGAAATTGAAGCTAACAAAGAACGGGAAGAAAATGAGGTAAAAAAAAAAAACATTCAGTTTTTCTCCAAAACCTAAACTTTTTATCAGCTAAAGATTATTTTGCATTTGTGATAGGATTTATATGTATTATTAGTTTTTGGCATATGTGCAATTCTTGACAATAAGGGTGTACAAACATAACAACTGGAAGGTTCTATAACTTTTTCACTTCCAACATCTCAGTAGTAATTGTCCTCACTGTGTGTCACACAATTTTTATGTTGTTAGGTCTTATGATGCTGTATGATTTTTATGATATTAGGATTTTGTCAGATTGGATCAACCATTCATACCCTAATCTGTATTTTATATATTCTCATCACTCATCTTCTGGCTTTTGTATTGATATTGTAAGGAGAAATTCTTTCTTGGTCACTCATGGGAGTTCAAGGGTGAAGAAGCTTGGAAGAAATGAGGAGATGAATTTTCATCAACTCAAGTGTTTCGGCTAATGATTTTCTATTATATCGATATTTATTTTAGAAACGTGAAGTAGAAGAAGAATTACAGAGGAGAGATGAAGCTATGAAAGAAAGCAAACGAAGAAGAACTATTGTTATTCAAGTAAGGATTCTGTTATTAAGTTAACTTTATTTTAGAGCAATTTTCTATTGTTTTATAAAATCGAGAAAAAATCACAACGGGCAATCAAGAGAAAGGAAAATACCTTAAAGAGTCCTTGAGAACTCAGAGTAAAAATAAGCAAACCGTCTAAAGCGCGGGAAAACGCGGGCGACCAAGTCGTGATTGGTGTCAGTTTTGCATTTGATTGGTTGAAAGAGTGGCGCGAGTTTTCTGGACCAATCACAGAGCAAAGTAAAGTAAATGAGATGCAATCCCGCATTACTTTGGACACTCAATTAAAAATTTCTCCACTTGGCTTGAGATTATGTCCGCTTTATCAAATCTCTAGGAAAAGAACACCAAGACAGATCCAGCGGCTCAGAGTGCAAAGACAAAAGATCCCGACACCAGTCCAACAAAGGAAGTGCCAGTTCAAAGAAAGCAATCTGGGAATACCACGGCACCTACACAAGCTTTCCCGTCACCCAAGAAAACAGAGGAAAGGCCTTCTGGCTACAATATCATGAGACGAAGGCGGAGCTCTGAAAGTGTGGGTGATGAATCCTTCACAGGGACACGAGTGATCCACTTCACCAGCAGAGGGGGACATATCGTGCATTGTGGAAAATGCCTTGGTAAATAATACTTGTATGTCCTTATAGATTAAGTGGAGGGCCAGATGGGAAACTGCAGTATTTGGCTCGCATTCATGACGTGTGGACCGAGGGCAATGAGTTCTGTACGTCATGAATGAGAGGCAAATATTTCTCCCTCTTGAACGACGGAAGTCTGCACTCGAGCGAAGTGGCCTATCCAGCCGTAGCGTATGCCGGTTTCTATCGCGCGAAGCGGTTAGGAGTATCACAACTCCCCCCCTGGATGGGATGCCAGTCCACCCCCAACATTTCAGACCTCTCGACCTGGAGTTAAGCGCACTAACCATCACGCTACCGTGTATCCCATATGGCAACTAAATTTTACAACTTTTGTAATGATGAAAACGAAAAAATTACGCGCGTCTGATTGGCTTGAAACGAGTACATTCTCATGTAACACAAATGCAAAGTTGTCACACGAGTGCCCTATCAAAATTTGTCTGTCTTGATTTTCTGTTAGGGTTTCTGCTATACATCATTATTATCAATATACGCGGCCAAATAGAAAATCGGCCTCTTCAAAACACACGCTCAGCGGGCCGCAAAAGACTGACAGCGGGCTGCTAATGCATTATCAGCCCTACAGCTGATTGGTTCTTGCTTCATCATCCGATGGATTTTAACCAATTAGAGTAAGCCTAGTGTTGACGCGGGAAAACCATTCATTTGCGAAACTCCGGTTTTGAACTGCAGTTTTTTCAGTCGTCGAATCGTCTTCGAGCGAAAACTGAAGTAATGGAAGAAATTAGCAGTCAAAACTCAGATTTGGGGCTAGAAGATTTGGACAAATTAGAAGCAAAAGGTCAGGCGGAATTCTTGATATCATTTGGCCTTGTTTATTGATAATAATGATAATGACATACCCTTGTAGTGTCATTTGCAAATGACACTACGCGGGCGCAAACAAACAATATTCCCGAAAAAAGTCATGTTATTCCCTTATTAACAAGCAACAACATGATTTCTCGTGCAGTTTGGTATAATGAGTACTTGTAGTTATTTTCAAATACTAAAAATTGCACTTGCCCTACGGGCTCGTGCAGTTTAGTTGTCTTTGAAAAATTTACTCGTGCTTATCAACACCTCATTGCACTCAAAATCATGTTGTTACCTACACAAATTATGCTTCAACCTTCATGGGACGCCATTAAACACCAGTAAGACGGGCGCGTGCGGAACAACCACGGAAAGACATTTTAAAAAAAGGTCTTGGCTAGCAGCCATCCATTCTGTAGAAATCGGTTTTAGATTAACGCCCAGATGTTGGTATGGTTGAAAAAGCCAAGTTCACTGGTAGTTGAAGTGCTTCTCAAGGGCTGGTATACCAGTTAGATGGTGAAAACATCGCATGCAGGCAACTGACCCTTGCGAGATAGACTTCCCAGGTTCTCAAGGAAGGAGCGTGAGTTGAAGCTATTTTGTTTTTGTTTCAGGTCAGGGATCATCTGGTTCCAAAGTTTACAGTGGCATGAACATTACCATAGGTGATCTTGTGGTGGTGTGTGAATGGATTTTGTCGTCACTTCATGCAGGACCTCAGATGCGACGCACGCTTAGTATCACTGACAACCAGCAACAAGATCCTCAAGCAAGGCTTATGAAACAGGTCTGGTTATTAATTCAATTACTTCAGGTTTTTATTCTGTGATTAATTAAAAGTTTAAAACACACAACTGACGCGGGAACGGATTATACCACTGATTTTTTTGTTTTGTTGATTATTTTGTTGTTTGTATTGTTTGTTTGTTTTTTTTGCTTTTGTTTCGTGTTTTTCCATTTCCTACTAAAGGGTATTTTCTTCCAAAACAATCGTCACACGACGCAACATTACAGATTTCCAGCCAAATTAAAAATAAATCTGATTTTTGTGTACTTTGTTTTCACTCTTAGGTATTCAGTATAGAGCAGGAGACTTTGTCCTTAATCAATCGTGTCAGTCATCCAAACTTGACACACTATTTAGCCGTTAATGTCCAGGAAGAATCTCCCACTGTCAAAGTCCAGGTATTTTTATGTATATAGCATTTTAAATATATTGTAAATCCCGATTTATAATCTTATTACCCTTTATTTTAAAAGAAATATCGCCTATTCGGCCTAAGATTACGAGGAAAAGGATTAATTTGGTATACTTCGGATAAAGAGGTCTTGATATCGACCTCATCCAAACTTTTGAGTATTCATTCGCAAACGCATAGGGCCGATTATATAAACGAAGTTTAACCGTTTTTTTTTTCTACAAAACTGCATTCTAAACTATCTTCAATCAAGCTGAACTTTTTATCTCAACATTTATTTTTGTGAACAGTGTCAAGAGGGCCGAAAGCCAATAGGGGAAGGACATTGATTTAATAAAATCAACCCTCTTATAGAGAATACCTGAGGCTCATTCCTTGCGTAACAGCGCGGTTTGAACTAAACCTCGTTTAAATAACCGGCCCATACGTTTTGGTGCGTTTTTGTTTATCATCCACACTAAAACGCCCGAAAAACGCTCATGACAACGACTTCAAAAAAGACTCGTTTTTGAAACTCTCCTCTTCTTGTTGGAACAGGTGAAACAGCGGCTTTTTGTAAACGATGACGAATAAAAGCGTCACATTCCCTCGCTTCTATCCACGTTTTTGGGCGTTTTAATGGGCGTGATAGATGAAAATTTAACCCATCAAAAGATATACCTTTTCGAATGAAAACGTTAGATAGTTGTGTTGGCACCTGAAAGAAAAACGAAAAAGGCTAACCTGAGTGGAAAATTTGATTCGTTTTCTAATTGACGTTGCGCATTAAACGCACATTAAAAAAGAAATTACTCGAACACAACTAAGATTAATTTTGATGTTTCTCTGCCAAAATAAAAGTAAGTAGTATTTTTAAGCGAGATTCTGGCATGGTGCCGTTGTGTACCGCTTTTTGTAACGACCCTTACTCTGTGGAACTTGTAGGAGGCGGTCATTCCGCCATTCCCCGCGGGTGAATGCTTAATACAGATTCGATTGTAGCTACAACCATCAGAAAAGTTTTCCCCACCCAAGCCATCCCCATACTTTTGTAATATAAACTTTTACCAAGGCTTGAATTTTCCCAAAACTATGCCTTATTTCCTCCCCATGTTAGTTAATTAATTTAGTATTTTATTTTTCCTTTCTTTCTTTAGGTTTTGTCGGAATACGTTGGTGGCGGCGATCTCAGTTTGCACCTCAGGAAAGGAGGGATGCCTGTGGCACAGCTACGAGAATACACGCAACAACTTGTGGAAGCCCTGTGCTATCTTCACAGCAGGGCTGTGGTCCATAAGGACTTGAGGGTGAGTGAAACAGAGAGGTGCTTGTTTATTAATTCGTTACACATTCTTCCTGAAATTATAAATTTTTTCCCATGCGATCACCTGTTGCTCTAGATTCACTCCTTCTGTTTCGTTCACAGTTATCTAGTTGCCGCCTTGACTCTGACGGAAATATTCGACTGGCCGATTACAGTGTTGGGAAAAGGTAAGTTTTCTTTAATAGCTAGATTTCATGAAATTCGTGTTCACATAGCAGATCTGTTGACTATTTGTACTAAAGGTTCAACTCGATGTAAATCGCCTTTAGTTAAGTGGTGCGCATATATATATATATATATATTTTTTTTTAATTCCTGCAAATGATGAACAGTTAACTAAAAACTTACTTGTGGATCCCACCAGTTGAAATATTACCTCTCGTTTTTTTTTTGCCATAAGAAACATCTTAGTTTTAACGGTTTTTTTTCTTCGGTCCATTCTTAGTTTCCTTTTTTTATTCCTGTATGTAATGATTATTATAGATGAAGTATCTTTAGGGTCGAAAGATTCTAAATTCATTGGAGCACTTTGTTAAAGTCAAGGCTAACATTGCTCCATTCCTCCGCATCCCCTCCCATTTCCCTTCCCCCTCCCCCTCCCCCCTGCATAACCACGCCTATCTCGGCTCCCAGTAACGCTAGTGACTTAAATTGATGCTGTGATGCCCAGTTTGGATAAGTTTAGTTTTACGTCCGTCAAAGAAACAGCTTAGTTGTTGTTACAATAGCTAAGAAGTTTCCGTAATGTAGACATGAGATTGATTGTGTTCAAATGATATTTTAGGTTGTCGGATCTGTACCAAATGTATGGAGGGAATGTGAAAGAAACACAGAGTAACGCTGCAGACGAAAACAACAAAATAACTTCTCGTTATGGAAAGAAAGGAGATGTCTACAGTTTGGTAAGGAATAGCTTCGTGAAGTCTTAATCATGGGCCTTTGAAAAGCATGGTATCTCTGTTTTTCTTTTCTTAGCTTCATTCCCAGTTTTGAGTGACACAATTCATCTGTGACACGCTTTCCTTGCGCGTGGAAAAGCTTTCTCTTCAGGGTATGTCGAAGAGAGACGGAAGGGGCGAAACAGTACGAAGCTGCAAGCAGAACTAAGGGCGGAGCTTAGGGTTTGGGTTAGAGTTAGGTTTAATTCCAAGCAGAAAAAGAAAAAGAAATTGAACTAAACACGCAAACAAGCGCACAAAAATGATCGATAGGCTTAGCGTCACTCACTCCAACATAGAAGAGGCATTGAGGATGCTGAACCCACTTGAGAGTAACCAAGATTATAACTTTAAGGCTTTTTTTTTTTTTTTCTCAAAAGGGCCTACTTGTACTGTCTTTGGCTGTCGGAGATGTAATATTTGGAGACGTGAAAGAAATACCTGCTTCATTGCCGTCGGAACTGCGAGACTTCCTTTCCAAGTAAGTGATAGATCTACATTCTTACAAAGTGTACTCATTTTTCGAGCATAACAAACTCCAACAATTCGCTATTACTTTGAAGTAGTAGTTGAGCTCGTTAGCACAACTTTTGAGAAATGGTGGTGACAAAGTTGATGCAAGGATATGTATACGTACTTTTTTATAATTTTTTGATCTTTTTTTAATACGTCCTTTTTTCAATCTTTCTTCTTCACAGTTGCTTAAAGACAGAAGAAAGAAACCGTTGGTCCGCATCTCAGTTACGCGAACATTCATTTTTAACCCCAGTCGTATCCGGTAGTTTAGCGAACGGCCAACAGGAAGTTGGGAAGAACAATGGAAACACAGGGGATGATGGGCCATCGCACCTGATTGACCAACCGGATCGCGAAGAGCCTATGTCCAACTTCTCATTCTTCTCGGGAGTTCCCGGAAAATCCCGAGTGAAATGCGAGTATGAGGAGCTGCAGTTTCTCGGAAAAGGAGGTTTTGGAAATGTCATCAAGGTATACTTGAGCTTTTAGTATCAATTAAACTTGCAAGGACGAGAACGAGAACACCGTAAAAATCTAGATCTAAATAATGCTTGGTTTCCATTGGCAGGATCGACCGTACCTTTCATAGGAGTCATGGTTGTGTTAGTATGATGGGAACACACACAAAGCATGCAAAGATACATTTTTCATGTGCCAATTTCTTTATTAGCTACGTTCATTGGCTAAAAAAGAAAGAGCGACAGTAGCCTGCCATGAAGGAATCTGTTGTTTTTGTGTCTTATCTCTAGCCTGGGACAAAGAAAAATTTCGAGGCCCCACGATAAATCAAGCAACAGACCTTTCGGATTCCGCTTCAGAGTGCTGTACTCTACTAATGACTGGGCGACCATTAAGTTTATATGTGATATTCAATCGCCATACTGCTGGGATGAGCAATGTCGAAATCCCCGCGTGGTTAAATAGAAAAAGAAAGTTGCTGAACTTTAAGCTCGTTACTGAAGTAAAGAAAGACTCAAGAAGTTCATTCGCCATTCAATTTAAATATTTGTCGTTATTTCATTTATGTATTCTTTATTTTTTGCAGGTACGAAATAAGCTGGACAACTGCCTTTATGCTGTGAAGCGGATTCCTCTGAATCCAAAGAGTACTCAGTTAAACAAGAGGATCATGCGTGAAGTACAGCTGATCAGCCGCCTGAATCACGAGAATGTCGTTAGGTGAGGATGTAATAGGGAGTTTAAGAAACGACAACGGCGACGCCGTGGACAACATTGATTTAACAATGAACTTATATTTTACCTACGAATCTCGCAATACTCTAAAGTCATTTAGTTTGTTTCTCACTATCAAAAGCATATTGAAAATGAATATGGAACGCAGCCTTAAATTATGAATAGAAATTTAAGAAATTAGCCGTCGTCGTTCACGTTCTTCAGACAACACAGAGTTTGGTCATTTCATGTCACTGCTTTGCGGAGAATGCAAAGAAATTTACAAAGATTTATGACGCACGTCGGTGTACAGTCACTGCTCTGCTCATGAAACCTTTTTTTTTAGTGACGTTCCTGTTTCCATTGCCTTCGTGGTTTTCTTAAACTCCCTTGTGAAATCATTACAGGCGGAGTTCGCGTTTACGCACAAATCGTGCGTATAGATACGCAACAAACTTTCGTGGGACATGTAAACACAAAGTGAATCTGCACAAGGGAAATGATTTGAAATTAAAAAAAGTTCTAGTGAGAATACTTGATCAGCAGGGATTTGCTAAAGCAAAGGCATAGAAAAAACCAGGAAAGATTTATTACTCGACGTTTCGGGGTCATCGTGACTCCATTATCAAGAGACTAGTTTAAAAACATGCAAATAAGGAAAGGTACAAGAATAGCATAAATTAGAATGAACGGCTTAAACAAACACCTTGGCGCGGATGGAATCCGTTTGCACGTTCAGTGTTGGCTTACGCATGCGAATATACAACATTTCATTAACAAGGCAATCAAATTTGCCGTTACATTTCGCGATGACGTTGAATTGCTCGATCAAGCGTTCAGGCATTTCACTATTGTGCTGGAGGTGGTAGTGTTTGTAGATAGAAGATGATTTCCTTGTGTGCCCTTCCACGCGCATGCGTAAGCCAACACTGAACGTGCAAACGGATCCCATCCGCGCCAAGGTGTTTGTTTAAGCCGTTCATTCTAATTTATGCTATTCTTGTACCTTTCCTTATTTGCATGTTTTTAAACTAGTCTCTTGATAATGGAGTCACGATGACCCCGAAACGTCGAGTAATAAATCTTTCCTGGTTTTTTCTAGTGAGAATAGTAGGAAAAATACCACTGAGTTAACACATTGTTTAGTACAACCACATTACAGGCTGGATTTAATTTTTTTTTTAAATTCCTAGAAAGGAGAACGAGCAAAGTGATTACGGGAGGGCATTTTGAGTGTGGGTGAATTTTGCTTGGTCCTCCTTTAAGCAAGTGCCTCTTTTTACGTCTGTAGCTGGGTGGTTTTACAAGTTCCAATAACTACTGCTAGTTTGGGAAGAAGAGTCGCATTGAGTTGGTAAAGTGGTTGTCGTAAAGAAAATTTTGACAATGTGCAATATACAGCGCTTTAAAAGGGAAACGGAGCGCAACTCATAATAAACTAATCTGTAATGTATTAATCTATTAAAGCTGCATTTAGTGGGAGAACGCTTAGCTCTCCAGCCAATCTACCAGCATTCCACTCTAATTATCGACAACAGATAACCCAAATCAAATTTAGCATGATAGTAAAAAGAACCCATCATGTAGCAGGTAAACCACTTGGCCGTCAGTTGGCTATTGTCGAAGAGTCTGGCTCGGGACCATTAAAAAACAGATTTAATAGATGCTTACGGCGAGACTCGAACGCGGGACATCCGACCAGCTTTGAACTCGTGGCTCACGCTGCCTTCTTAACAGTTACATTTTCCCTTCTGTAGATATTACTATTCCTGGATCGAAATCGCTGAGGAACAGCAACAGGAAAAGGTTCAAACAGCAGACGGGAAACCTCACAAGGACGTGCCATCATCTGTTTCATCTGAAGAAAGTCTAATGAAATTCAATAAGATCGAAGCGCCAAGTGTGAGAGAAAGTAGAGATGACGTAGAAGAATCTTGGTGGCAAGACGACAGAAAAGGGAAGAGCAATGAATCAGATTCGTCTTCAAGTGATTCGCAGGAATCGATTCGTAGTCCAAGTAAATTATCGTCATCTAAGAGTCACAGTGTGTCATTCTTTAATAGCAAGTCTGAGTCGTCTGAAGGGGTGGTGTTTAAAGGAAATCTTGAAGCGTCGGTTCTTCAGTTTGGAGATCTGTTAGATACAGAGGTAAGGTGGTCTTCAAAAAAAAAATAATAATCGTGATCACAAAAATTGGATTATAGTCGTGGCGCTTTTCTTTCAAGTAACTGCTAAATAAGATAGAAGTCTGATGCGGCTTTACTTCTGCAACCTTGTCGTTCCGTCCGATAAGGGTGACTAACCTTTGCTTTAAGCGTGAAATTGGAGGGGCTTTGTAAATCAAGAAATGTGGAAGTGGTTTAAGACATGAGTGGCTAAGAATAATCCTTGGTTTTTTTGATAAACGACCAGAAATGTTTTTGTCGAGCCTCCATGTCAAACGCTGGTATGAAAACATATTTCAGTTGAAATACACCTGCAGTCTACTCCGCTTTGAATTCTCATTAGTTAACTAAAAAAAGAGAAAAAAAAAAGGGGGGGCTCAGTGAAATTTAAATATGTCCATTCAGGGCGTGAAATTAACTTTTTTTTCTGATAGCCACTTGGCTCCTAAATTCTTCAAAGTGGTAGCCAATTCAAAAAAAGCCATTTTCAAAAAGACAAACAAAATCTTTCTTTACGCTGTCAGCGTTCTAGATAGACCCTCCAAAATTAAGTTAGGGAAAAGATCTTTAACGTGCTACAAAGTGGACACTAGGATGGATGACATACAACGTTCAGGCTCATCTAAATCCAAGTGGCGTCTAGTTGTCGATCGAGAAGCACGTGCTACGTTTTAGAAACAAACTTAATGAGGAAGTTCGCCGCGGATTTATCTTTGCAAATCTTTTTAATTCACTATATCTCTTGGTAAGGTTACGATGAAACGTTCTAGTCGCCAATTTGGCGACTAACTTTCAGGATTTAGTCGCCAAAGTGAAAAATTTAGTCGCATTGGCGCCTGTATTAGGCGCAATTTCACGCCTTGCGGCATTGCAGGATACGTTTTGGCAATTGTTACAAGTACAGAATACATTAGCTGAAGCTCGTGATCACAACGTTACGAGATGCTTCGGGAATAAACATACACCGGCTTTATTTATTATTCTTTTTTCTTTTTTCAAGTCAGAAGATTCTGATGAAGGAGTGGAATGGCAAGAGACTGGAAGCGAGTCCAGTGCCGAACACTTAGGACTGCAGTACCTGTACATCCAGATGGAGTACTGTGAGATGAGCACCTTAAGGAACGTTATTGACGAGGGCTTGCATAAAGATAAGGAGCGAATTTGGAGGCTTTTTAGAGAGATCGTTGAGGGCCTGGTACACATTCATACTCAGGTGATGCACAAGTACTAAATCAATATGTCACATGGGTGGTGTAATGTGCTTAGAATTTCCTAAGTTAGAGCAATGTTCAATTCATTGTCCTATATATACGTGTCAATGGCGAAGGTCAACCTCGGGTTCTTTTCTGAACCTCGGGTTCTTTTCAGAACAGTGCTAGCAGATCAGAACGTGGAATCCAAACGCCTTAGATTTGATTACTCGTGAGCGAGTCAGATGTTTCGCTGTTCCACGTACGGGGCAAAACGGAGAACATAACGCTTTCGTTATCGCTTTTTTCTCTTTGCTGCACAGGGCATTATTCACCGGGATCTTAAGCCCGTAAACTTGTTCCTAGACTCTCTCGGCCGCATCAAAATAGGCGACTTTGGCCTCGCAACCACGCACGGCATGACACGCGGAGGCATGGACACTGACGGCCCAGATTCAATTGCTAATGGCCAGTCTCTCAAGATGAACTCAAACACTAAAGAGAGTATGACAGGCAAAGTTGGTACGACGCTTTACGTCGCTCCGGAGTTGGGAAAACGGTCTGGCGGCCGAGTGAAGTACAGTCAAAAGGTTGACTTGTATAGTTTGGGGATTATCTTCTTTGAGATGTGTTACAAGCCTTTAACAACCTCTATGGAAAGGGTTAAAGTTTTGGGAAATCTACGAACGGTAAGTGCATGTTTACCCTAGCGCTACAATCATATAAAATCGGAAGAAAGTTGTAATTTTCTCGCCCACAAGGAGAGATGAAAATAGTCTAAAGGGAGTTCATATGATCTACTTTCAAAGGTTTCAGTGTGAATAGGCTACTCATCGTGTTTTATCTTCATTTTCCTGAGCCTAAATTGAAAAGGAAGTAATTATGCTGAACAATATTCCAAGTTTGTAATCAAGCCTTAGAGGCGACAAAGTCGTAGGTCTTTTTATTCTCGAGCATTAATTTCGCTTTTCATCAACTTTTTCGGTGTCCTGTTTGTTTCCTTATTAGGAAGGAATCATCTTCCCGACTGATTTTGACCAGAAGGGCCGCGCCAAACAAATGATCGTCCTTAAGTGGCTCCTCAAACATAACCCTGAGGAACGCCCTACTTCACAAGAACTACTTCAAAGCCAGTATGTTCCACCTAAGATTGAAGATGGTCAGTTGGACGAAGTGCTCAAACATACGCTCGCGTCTACGAACTCTACTCGCTACCAGCGTATGATTAAGGCCATGTTCTCGCAGAACGTTTCTTCAGTTCAAGACATAACTTACGATGTTGACGTTTACACGGGACAGGTTTCACCACATGCTATCCTTGTGCAGCAGATGGTTCACGAAAGCGTAAAATCCGTATTTTTGAGACACGGCGCGTTACGGTTAAGAACGTCACTTCTTGCCCCTCGCACGCAGTTATTTGAACAGCTGGAATTAGCTGTTAGCGTTATGGACCACAGTGGCACGCTTGTCACGCTCCCTTTCGATCTCAGGATACCGTTTGCGCGTTATATCGCGCGAAATGGGGTCGTGAACATGAAAAGGTTTGACATCGGATGCGTGTATCGTGACAAGAAGATTCTGGGCGCCCACCCCAAGGAACTTTACGAGTGTGTATTCGATATCGTCACAAGCTCGCCGGAAGACCTTGTGCCCGACGCCGAAGTTTTATTGGCGGTATTTGAGATAATAAACGAGTTTCCTTCGCTTGGTTCCCGTAATTATTACATCAGGATGAATCATGCACATCTTTTGACGTGTTACCTGACTTCTGTAGGTATATCGGATGAGCGACAGGCCGAGTTGATAGCAATTCTGAAGGAAACTCGCAGCGAGAGGGACCGAAATGTTCAGATCAATTTGTTTGTTGAGAGCTTGCAGTTAAGCGATCACGCAGCGACGGCACTTTGCGAGTTCCTTAACTTCGAAGGCCCTGTGAATAAATTACGCGAGCATCTGATTGGTACCATGAAGCGAAAATCTTGGGTGGGCCCGTCTGCGCGGCAAATTCTACACAATCTGGAAGCGATCACGCAGCATGCTCAAACATTCAAGATTGATCTTCCTGTGGAAGTCAAGACATCTATGGTTTATAACCACCAGCATTTCTCAGGTTTGATTTTCCAGTTTGTAGCCGCAAACAAGCGGAAACGGAAGCGAGGAGGCGTTGATATTCTGGCCGCTGGAGGACGATACGACGAACTAATAAACCATTTCCGCCGGGGAGGAGAAGCTTCTCATCCCAACCCTGGAGCGGTGGGTGTCAGTATCGCGATTGAAAAAATTGTAGCCGCTGTTTTGGAAGAAGAAGACGTTAGTAGTCTGTGTCCTTATGATGTTATGGTTTGTTCAGCTGGGAGTAACCCAATGCAGACCGAGCGCATGCGTATTGCACACGATTTGTGGGAATGTGGCATCAAAGCAAATATCTGTTATGATTCAAAAGACATAGTATCTCTGGAAGAGCAACAGGAGTTTTGTAAAAAAAGTGGAATTCAACATATGGTGGTGTTGAAAGGGCAGGAAACTGGAAGTGTGAGAGTGAGTGAATTGGAAAAAAATTGTTGCATTTCGTTTTCATACATAGTTTGTCAATAAGTTTGTCCTTCCTTCCATATTCTGTTGTTAGTTTTTGCAAATTACATTTAGTCACTGTTAAGTCATTTATCTCGCAGGTGCGATCTTTTGACAAAGAAAAGCTCACCGAGTCTCGCGTAAAGAGAGATGAACTTGTGGCCCATCTTCAAGCGAAGTTCTCTACAAGGCTTGAACCGACTGAGTCCTCTGCGCCGTTGGGTAATAAAGGGGCTAACACGCAGAGCGGTAACGAGACGAGTTCCACAGTTGTTCCAGAAATGAAGGTCTCATTTAACACTCAGGAGAAGTGGGCTTGGAACACAAAGCGAAGATACGAAAGCTTGATGATGTCCAAGATTAAACCTCTTCTGACTCACATCAGTTCTAAGAATGCCGTGGAAGTTATTGCGGTGAGTCAGGGGAGTATGTCGTTTTAAGTGTTGATTTAATGTTTGACTTTAAATTGTACTTTTACGTTGGATTTACGGTTGGGAGCGGTACTCCTGTTATATGCTGTGCTGTGCGACGTGTGGTTTTCATCGCAGCTAATGTTTTGGATGTCACGCAACGCTCTTTCAAAGCGAGCATGGCGTGACATCTCAAAGATGAGCTGTTTTTAGGAAGGAGGTAAGTTTATAAGAAACTACGGTGTAGCATTGGTGGGGGGTGGGGTGGGGTGGGTTGGGGGCGTATTACAATTGATTTATCAACTGAGTTGAATAATGAAGAGTTTCCGAAGCTGTTGAAATCCTATAGACTCTCTCGGTAGTTACTTTTCTCTATTAACTCATTTGATAAAACCATGTTACACTGTTTTTTGTTCTTGTTGTTCTTAAACTCTGATTGGTCAAATTACGTCACATTTCGCTGTAATCACCTTGCTAGAGGTGATTACAACAGGGACACCAAATTTGAAAATGTCACAAAAAAAAAGAATGTAAATGTTTTGACGTTTTGTCAATGTAAAGGTAGACGTCGTTTTAGAAAATTCAACTCTGAAGAGCTCAAAAGATGCTACTAAAAAACGCCTCGCAATGATATATGGTTACTTTCCCCCACCTGTTTCTTTTTCTCTCAGGTTGACCTGCCTGGTACTGTTTTGCGCAACATGTCCGCAATGCTTGATCTGGATGCAAGTCAAGACGCATTTGATGCTAGCGTTGCGACCATCGCGGATAAAACCCCGCGTTACAAGAAATACCTTGGGCGCGTTTGCGACGACATTCGGGACCTTAAAGTATCCAAGAAAGAACCAGTAGTGTTCGTCTATAGTGTAAAAGATGAAATGTTCAAAATATTTTTCTAGTTGGGATTTTTCTACGAATTTACATCCTTTTGTCAAAGCTGCACTTTTGTGTCACTCGTTAGATTAGCGCGGGATGGGTCAAGCAGTCCTTGCGTCGGTAGACAGTGATATGTGTCACGCAACTTCTGTAATGGTAGCTATTACTACAGAATCCCAAATGTATCAAATGATGCTAAAGTACGTGGTTACTAGAATCGTAAAAACAGCTAGTCTTGAAGACATTAAAAGTAAAAGTTTTGTACAACAGTCTAGGAGATAGATTATTAAATATAGTGATTCATCTCTCGATTCTTCGACGTTCTGTGCTTTTGGTTAAAATCACTTTGTGACAATCAGAGTCGGTAAAAGTGTCCTGTACTAACTCTGTGACACGCTCATTTTGAAATTTGACACAATCTCGTCAAGGACGTCTTACATCCATTCTTACGATTCAAGAAATACGCGGCTTTGCTCAGGGCCTGTTTACATGGAGGTGGGGATCAGAGTGATGGTCTGGTGAGGAAGATCTGATTTCGCTCCCAACATAAGTTACTTCGCTCCATGTAGGAAACTAAAGTAAAGGAAGCAAAACTAAGTTATCTAAATTGATAGTTCATTAAATGACGTTCATATCTTACCATACAATCGATTAACATCGCTCATGCGCTTGAAATACATCTGAGCTACGCAGAAAGAACATATAAAGCCTCATGAAAGGGACTCACGAAGTGTAATCCACTTTATTAATTAAAGATGGCGGATATCAGCTTCCTTACATCAAACAGCAAAAAAGGCCACACTGGACAGTATTGGTATTTCAATGATCTTTTTCAATACACTTCAGACTATAACGTTGTATTTTATCCCACGATCATTTATTCCATTATCGTTATATATACATCCGTAGCTTGGTGGCTAATCCGAAGGACGGAGTGAATACGATGTACTCGAATCGTCGAAAGACATATCATCACCTATAAACTTTAAAGATCGTTAGTAAATAATAGATCGTTAGTAAGTAATACTTCACTTTACAACATGGAGTGAAGTAACTCATTTGATGGAGCGATCTAACTTTCGAGTGGAGCGATCTAACTTTTGGGTGGAACGATCTAACCGGATACCCTTTTTTTTTGTCTTCGGATCCACACAGAAGCAACGCTAGACCTTTTTAATTCAGTTGTCCGAGGAAAGTGGCTGAAAAATGTCAGACAACTTCAATTCAAAGTAAGTAAATGCTTAAGAGAGGATGTCAGCATCCATCGAACAAACTTGAAATATTGTGGCAAGTCGCCCAAAATTCGTTTTCTCTCCTACTTTCATGTTTTGTAGCCCAATATGTTCTAATAATTGTGGTGTAGTTTTTTTGTGAAAATATATTTTAGTTCTCGAGAAATGACTTTTTTCGTTCGACCGCTCAAATATGCAAATTGTCACAGTGAATATTACCAGAGTTGTGTGACCTCATGAAACGAATGTACTAGACCTGCGGTATTTCTGTGAACATAATCCTTTGTTTTATCATTGCTGCCGCAGGCAGCTTCATATTGGGAAACGATCGATGGTCTTTGGTTCGATCGTTCGATCCATCGTTCGCATCAGGAAACAGCCAATGAAAAAACCTGTTACATGATACTCTCTGGCCAATCAGCAGCCGTGTTATAAGAAATTGACATGTGCTTGCTCAGCAGAAAATCGTGCTCGCTCACAGCTTGAGTTATCGTTTTTAGTCGATCGGAGTCAAGATTTACGCCTATTTCCAGGTAAGTTGTGGCATCTGTTATGATTACTGCTATTCGAGGAAGCATTTTGCAAGGTCACAAAGCTTTCAGTGAGCATTCTAGAGGCCGACAGTGTGCATTTATGTCACTTGCAGTGTGCTGACGCTCGATCAGCGGAAGATCGCATGTGCTAGCAAGTTCTCTTGTATATTGTCGATCGGAGTCAAGGTTTACGCTGTTATACCTTCTGTTTTCGTTAACCGATATTTTTGTTGTCAATTTTAGCAACTACTACAACTATATTATATTCGCAAAGAATATGTAACCATTTGCAAATAAAATACGTTTTATTTTTTTTGAAATTCTCATTGTCATATTTGCAGTCAAACATCTCTAACGGCAGCACTCGCTTCTCAATGAGAACTCCTAGTCTAAACTTAATCCCCTGTCGTTATTGAAGCTGGCAAAGAAATATTTATTTTTTGGTGAATATTTTTGTCCGACATACTTTTCCTATGTCGAAAAGTAGCATCAAAACAAAGACAGTTTTAACAATGACCGATATGACACAATCTACTGAGCTTCAAGCTTTTAAAAGACCAAAGGATGGTTATAAAGTTACTGTAAAAATTTCCTTGTGTATTTGTGTTGTTCTATCTTGAGACGAACTCAAATTCCGGCAAAATTTACTTGATAGCGACTATGAAATATACATGGTGCGCCTACTTGTCGCCACCGTTAACTGGCATAAATCACTACAATTTGTAAAAAAGTCTAACATAACAATCTTACCTTGTTTATTTATGACTTTATTAAAAAAAATTTGGGTGACTTGCCGCTGTTTGTTTGATGAATGCTGACATTAGCTCTTTAAAATTGTTTCTACTCAAATTACAGCCTTTCTCCAAAATTTAACCTGCTCATAATTTGCATAAATGCAGTAAGCCAACGGTAGGCGTTGTAAGCGATAGAAATTCTTCGCTTCTTAAATCTTTATTTCAGCTTTCCATATCGACGTTTCACAATTCCACCAGCTGGGCTTGTAGAAGCTCGAGAACCACTAGAACGCGGTCCCTACAGTATTTTTCCGGAATTTATCTCAGCTACGTTGCCCCACATTTTCCACTAAGTTTTCCTTTCGAAACAGATATTTTGTCCAGATCGTGGAGCCGATACATTTCGGAGAAAGTTCCAAAAAATCCAGTAGGTCAGAGCAATCACGCATTCGTTGGACTGTAGGAGAGGTTAAACTTCTAATTGCAGTTCCCCAAACGAGACAAGAGAAAAAGTCTAGAGGCCATGTGGGACAGGATGGCAGAACGACTTGTCGCCGATACCAAAGAAATCGATGATTTTGTCTGCGATAAGTCGGCGAAAAATTGACGCGACAAAATAAACAACCTAAGCAAAAAGTACAAAACGGTCAAGGATAAAAGTAAACTAACAGTAGATGGCAGCAAGGACATTAAATCACTTCCAGAATTCAACGATCTAAATGACATCTGGGACAAGAGACTCAGTAAATCCCAAGTACATCATAGAGGCATGCCGCAGGGACGTCCCGCACAGCAGCTACTCCCGCTGCGAGCCCGAGTTCCTCTTTGGCTGGCCAAAGTGCAGTTAACATATCGGCAAGTAGTATTGATGAAACGGAAATAGATGAAGATTTACCCCTGAAGCAGACACTAGATAAAAGTGGGGGCCAGCGGAAAAAAGGAAAAGAACCAGTTGGGAACCCGGGAAAAACTGAAGAAGCACTAGAGGGGATGACGATGACGATGTCTCAACAGATGACCAGGACATTAAACGAGCAGAACGGCTATTTTTCAAGGAAAAGAAAAAGCCAGTTTCGAAGAAAGAAGTCGAATCTGAGTAAAAAAAAGACCAACAAAGCAAGGAAGAAGAAATGTTAAAGAAGCTAATCAAGACGCAGACGGACGCTGCAAAAAGAGCAGAAGAAGAAAAAAGAGAACTGTTTCAGTATTTAAGGGAGTCTAACAACCGTACCGAGGAACTGGTGCTTAGTGCAATACGGGAGTTAGGGGCAATCCTAAATAAATAAAAGCTTAACAATTTTTTTCTTCTTGTTCACAACATTTTTTTTTCACTTTTTATCACAACGGTTGCAGTTACATTTTTGTGACAGTTTATTCCTACGACTGAATAAATAAGCAGAAATGGAAAATAATCACAAGTATGAACATGTATAATGGCAGTAATGTTTGATGAATGTAAATATTATAAAGGAAGTTAACTAGAATTCATCAAAATAGATATTTCTGTTACATTTTTAGCCGTTTTAATATTTGAAATTTAATGCTCAAAAGTTTGGGCAATATCTTTTTAATTTTTACAAGAAGAAAAAAAACATGATACATATGTGATGTAACACAAATGCGCGAGTCGAATAATTGTAATCTTTAATTTTAGATTTTTCATGATTAGTTTTATAAAATGACAATAAATATTGCAGAGACAAGCTACCTTGAGGTTCGGGTTCTGCTAATTTCCCTCGGTCGTGCCCAAAAGATAAAGTTTCATTTAAAGAAACAAGGGTTGGAATCCCTCAACAAAATTTAGACCTCACTGTCAAAACGAGTTTAATCAGCGAGAAACGTTGTTAGAGCTTGCTGCACAATTCGTCCCTGTCCGAGCGCAAACTGATCGCTGTCATCATTGTCATCATTATCATTTTCATCATTGGAACTATCGTCATCTTCGACCTCGTCGCCCCGTAAAACGCAAATGTTGTGTAAATATATACAACAAGTGTTACGAGTAATTGTTGTAAAAATAAGCTTCTAGAAATTTCCTGACTGCTGAGTCATGCCAACTTGCATACGATAGAACTTTCCAGAACATTTTATCAAGTCACACACTTACTAGGTAATTCTACTAAAATAGTTCTTATGTAAGCGTCTGGAGTGTTCCAGAACACTTTGTGAATATATATAAAGACTCGCTTATATAGTAGTGGTGGTTGTTGTCGTCGGAGGGACGCCTGTTTTAAAAGCTATACCGTATGTATGAGTTACAGGGGATGATTGCTCATTTCAAGGAACTTTGGAGACAGCAGTGAGATTGTGTTAGTGGTGAGCTTGGATATAAACTGTGTGGGCTTAATTACGTTTATTAACGATAATTACTGTACTGCTTCAAGGAGTCGCTTCTTGTTAAAAACATTACTCGCTGTTAAAAAAGTAGTTGAGTTTGTGGGACTGTTGTGTTTTTCGGTCGGGTAGATTGTACTGTAACACAGGTCAGGATAGTATGTGGAACTTCTGGTGTGTTTTCTTCAAGTGGCTTTAGTAGGCACCTCCAACGACACTTCAGATTGCCAAATGCCCTTTCTATTGTTATCCCGCTCTTGCCTAAAATCTTATCGAATTTGGCCTGATATCGATTAAGGTTACGAGAATGGGGATAAGTACTAACCAGCCAGGGTAGTGAGGGGTAAGCAGATCAGGAGGGGGCGCACCGCTACTCCATTAATGCGTTTCACTGGCTCAGTCAAATAAGGTTGTTTCCGGCCCTTAGGTACAGTGTACTAAGTCGCGAGATTCTGGCATCGTGAATACTACCAGGTCATCCTGTGCTGACGTCTATGAATTTATCAGCAGCATCGACTACTCCTTGCAAATTAATTGAATAGTTTTGTTTCACGTTGAAATAGTCTTCACGGTTAACCTGAAGTGCTTTTATGGTGATGTGGGAACCATCTATTGCTCCAACAACATTTGGAAATCCAGCTATACTTTCCACCCTTCTCATTGCTTGTGCAGCATCAAGGGGATCATCTGGGAACCGAATAAAATCATATTTGTGGCGTATTATAATGCTTCCATGAAGTTTTCGCATATCTTTGTTACAGTAGATTTCCCTTGTCCGAAGGTTGTTCCTGTCGTTCCATGGAAGTTACTGGTTCCCAGTCTCCATAATGCAATTGCCTCGCGCTAGTTCAAGGTGACAGCCTTTCGGAAGCGAGTATATTGCTTTGAAAGGTCTGGTCCATCAAGCTGGCAGATGTAATCAAATGTCTCCAGAAAGACACGGAAGTCATTTTTCCACAAAGCAGACAAGACTTGATTCTGATACATCTCTTTAAACCAACCTTGTGGTCTTGGATATATCCACGCTACTCTTCTTCGCCGCGCAGAAGCTTATCTTCGTCTTCTTATTCTTCTTGCGAGGAGAGCAGTGAATATTTATTTATATGGAATATTTTTTTCCAGACAAAAGTCACGTAAGTACTACCAAAACTAGTACACTGTTTATCTGGAGACGTGCGTAACAGTTGCCGTTAGTAACAAAGGGGATCGTTAATTTGGTCACGTGAGCAAAAAGTTGTTAGCGCAAAACGCAAACGCACGTGATAACCTTCCTTCGCATTTCTTTGCTTTTGCTTCGCCTTTGCTGTCTGTCGTCGTGTATCCGCTTTCGTTTAGTAATACAACATGATCTAGCTAAGTGTTCTATTTTAAAGGATTCACTGCCGTAAAATAGAAAAAAAAGAGCAACTTTTCCACAGACCGCTCATACATTTGGTCGATTTCATTCCATGCTTTAAGAGATTCTCCGTTTTAAAGATTCCCCCTTTTTAAGATTCTCCGTTTTAAAGATTCCCCTTTTAAAGATTCCCCCTTTTAAAGATTCCCCCTTTTAGAGATTCTCCGTTTTAAAGATTCCCCTTTTAAAGATTCCCCCTTTTAAAGATTCCCCCTTTTAAAGATCCCCCTTTTAAAGATTCCCCATTTTAAAGATTCCTCGTTTTAAAGATTCCCGCTTTTAAAGATTCCTCATTTAAAATATTCCCCATTCCCCATTCATCCATTCCCCATTCCCCGTTCTCTCATTCTTTCTTCCCCATTCTTCGTTTCTCCATTCTGTGTTTCCCCATTCTTCGTTTCCCCGTTCCTTGTTTCCTCGTTTTCCCGTCCCTCGTTTCCCCGTTCCTCGTTCCTCGTTTCCCCGTTTCCCCGTTTCCCCGTTTCCCCGTTTTCCCGTTTCCCCGTTTCCCCGTTTTCCCGTTTCCCCGTTTCCCCGTTTCCCCGTTTTCCCGTTTTCCCGTTTCCCCGTTTCCCCGTTTCCCCGTTTCCCCGTTTCCCCGTTTCCCCGTTTCCCCGTTTCCCCGTTTCCCCGTTTCCCCGTTTCCCCGTTTCCCCGTTTCCCCGTTTCCCCGTTTCCCCGTTTCCCCGTTTCTCGTTTCCCCGTTTCTCGTTTCCCCGTTTCTCGTTTCCCCGTTTCTCGTTTCCCCGTTTCTCGTTTCCCCGTTTCCCCGTTTCCCCGTTTCCCCGTTTCCCCGTTTCTCGTTTCCCCGTTTCCCCGTTCCTCGCTTCCCCGTTTCCCCGTTTCTCGTTTCCCCGTTTCCCCGTTTCTCGTTTCCCCGTTTCTCGTTTCCCCGTTTCTCGTTTCCCCGTTTCTCGTTTCCCCGTTTCTCGTTTCCCCGTTTCTCGTTTCCCCGTTTCTCGTTTCCCCATTCTTGGTTTCCCCATTCTTGGTTTCCCCATTCTTGGTTTCCCCATTCTTGGTTTCCCCATTCTTGGTTTCCCCATTCTCCGTTCTCCTATTCTTCGTTTCCCCATTCCCCGTTCCACCATACCAGGTTATCCCATTCCCCATTCTTCCATTTTCCGTTCCCTCCTTCCGCATTCCTTTCAGTTCTCCCATTCCTCGTTTTCCCATTCCTCCATTCCTCGTTTCCCCATTCCCCCATTCTCCCATTCCTCGTTCTCCCATTCCTCGTTCTCCCATTCCTCGTTCCCCTATTCCTCGTTCCCCTATTCCTCGTTCTCCTATTCCTCGTTCCCCCATTCTTCGTTCTTCCTTTCCTCGTTCCCCCACTCCTCGTTCTCTCATTCCTCGTTCCCCCACTCCTCGTTCTCTCATTCCTCGTTCCCCCACTCCTCGTTCTCTCATTTCTCGTTCCCCCACTTCCGTTCCCCCATTTCTCGTTCCTACATTTATCCTTCCCCCATTCCTCGTTCACCCATTCCTCGTTCCTTCATTCCTCGTTCTGCCATTCCCCGTTCTGCCATTCCCCGTTCTGCCATTCCCCGTTCTCCCATTCCGCGTTTCTTCATTCCCCGTTGGCCTATTCCTCATTCTCTCTTTTAAAGATAGCCCTTAAAGTGAAATCGGTCATGGCGGCAGCCCGGTACGCACATTGTGGGAACAAAAAGGGATTAAAAGGTCCTCAATCCCAAGCATTCCTGAATCAAGGACTACATGTTATGCAACGTCTAGCCATCCATAGCAAATTCAACCAACACCTATTCAAGAAGAACAGGAACAACTTAAAACTGCACTAATTGAAAGTCACATGAACACTATTTATCAACCCGCACCAGCCTCTGATGATGCAATAACTTTTACAGCTGTAGAGGAAACTGAGAAACGTCCGCTTTCAGATGCTGCAAGTGCTCCAATAGACTTATCTGCATGTATGGACAGCCAAGAACACCACTATTTTTAGTAATATTTTGGGAAGGTTTTACGTTTTATTGATCACTGATGTTTACAATTACTATTGAGCTGGTATGGCTTGTACGTTTACAGTTTAAAACGGGGAATCTTTAAAAGCGGGAATCTTTTCTCTCTAACGACATTTCTCATCGCTGCCACAGTTGTCCCGCCATACAAAGTACAATACGTATTGAGATCTTCGTTGATTGATCTGTAGCTTTTGGAAGGTTTTTCCTTTTTCAGTTATCATATCGTTTCCACATCCTCTGGCTTGAGTTGACAAGGGTTTCCAGATTTCTTTTTCGCGGACAAATGATCCCAGTTTCGCAGACCGTTTTCCATAAGTTTCAAACGAACTGACCCGTGGCTCGATATTGATCGGCAACTTCCTTGAAATACCCTCCAAAATACCCTGATGTTGGATCCCCACCTTCAACTAAAATGGAATCGATTATCACACCCCTTCGGCTACCGTCTACGCTTTTACCACAGATATAAGACCTACCTTGTTTGTTTATGGAAAGACCCACCACCGTTTGATTTTCAACAATGTGAAGGAATGGGATCGCGTGCGCTTGCGTTTGAGGCGTCAGGGATAGGTCACGTGGGCTTAATTCAAATATGTATCTCTCCAGCGGCAACTGTTTCGCGCGTCTCCGAAAAAGAGTCTACCTGTTTTCGTTAGTAAAAGTGGAATGTCTGAGCTTACCTGCTTTGTCATAAAATTGCAGTTTGATTGACAAAATTGGAACAAGAAGCCTTCTGGAAATTGTTAAGTCAACAACCATAGTCAACTTTTGTTTACTTTCTTTTACTATAACAAAAGCCCGTAACCACAGGAAAATTCTTGGCGCGACCTCAACCATTGGGCTTTGAGGAGATTGTATGTAATAAAACTCTCGACTGTACAAGATATTTAATGCGTTTGAAATGGAGGAAAGTTGCATCGAACGACAGGAAGAGGAACTTCAAGTTCTCCATGCTATTTTCATGGACAACTTCCAAGATTTGAGAGAAGAGGTAATTTATGTATTAAACGATTTACTTAATTGATTAGGGATGAAGTCTTGGTAACTTGCCATAAGCAATAGGGAGCTGTTTACGATCTTGCCCATAATCATACCGAAGAATCATACAGTAGTTCAGGTTTAGTCTTTTGAAATACTTAGGAAATCGCCTGGAGCATAAAGCATAGACAATGGATATCAAGACAACTCAGAAGGGGTATCAAGACTCGTTTGTTAGGGAATAAGATGCATTAGGTCACACTTGTAGTGTGTTGGCCTGGCCATCATAATAGTCTCAAAGACTAGTATTTTAAAAAAAAACACTATATATGGAAGCAATGAAGCTCAGACCGCATTTCCTCTTCAAATGTGCCAAAAGAATGAAACAATAGCGTAATTAAGCGACCTCAAGCGGCAGCATCGACAAGTGTATTCTATTTGTTTTGACGTGTCAAAAAAGTCCAAAGAACGATTGAAAACATTTCATGCCTTCAAGTTTTTTCGCTCAATTTTTTCAATTTTTACTTGTATTTATCAAATTAAACAGAGCATTTTCAGAGCTTTAAAAAGAGACCTTGAATGAGCATATTCGATAATTGTAGGCGAAAGTTCGTAGTTTACTTCTTGTTCTTGGCATTTTAATTTATGCACAGGCATCTTTGACCGGCGCGCGAGAAGCATGAATTCCAAAGAATGGCCGCAGACATTTTATGCATTCAAGTTTTTTTCGCCAAATGTTTTAAATTTTAAGTTTTGCATAAAATAAACAAAGGGCATTTTGCGAGCTTTCTAGGGAGACCTTTGAACGAGGAGAGTGTGAAGCGTGTTTGCAAGTCGTGCACTCGCGAACATTTCGATAGGCGCATGCTAGATCTCAATCGAAATTTACAAATGTCCGGTCTAAGAAAATATATAGCTTCAAGTCTGACAGCTCTTAGCACATTTTTACGAATCTGAAATTCATCAGAGGCCTTTGAATACAATTGTGTTTGTGGGATGGGTGCGCTAGCGAGCCGTTTTTGTCAATGAACTCCAAACCTCTGTTATTTACATCTAGGGCTATTGTTATTGTATGTTGCGTTTTATTGCTGTAGACGCAAATTTTCGGAACTGAAGCTATTGTTCGTTTTTGAACTATAAACAAAACAAAATTGTCACATGTCATTCAAGGGACGTTCCGATTTCTATAGCTGTCTTACATTTCCGAGTGAAAGTGAAATCCGACGAGAACCTTAACAATTGCATGAATATATGCATACTTGAGTCGACGCGAAGTTGTAATGTGCTGACAAATCAGTTATGGTTGCTGCTATTTTCAATCTTGCTCAGCAGCTTGGCTGTACGTCTTCTTCACGCTTCATCGCTCTGGCTCACCTCTCTTTTTTTCACATCTTGACAATCTCTCAAAGCTAGTTCGGGGAGTTACTCGAAAAAGTATTTTCTGAAATAATGAGGTTTTTATCGCTATTATTGTTATTTTTCAATAAGCAGGGCAAGATCTACTTGCGTTCTGCATGTTGTGTTTTTTTTTTCATATTTGTTGTACAGCTATAGCAGTAATAAAAAGTAACTTATTTCTAGATAATTTTTTCCAAATCTTTAATCCTTGAGGGTTTTTGAACTGACGTATAATTTCTCTCTATGGCATCACTGCTGAAGCAAATATTAGTCTCATGAGGAATAATTCTTCACATTGCCCTAAGAAGAGTTTCAAGAACTGTATGGAGAATAAACATGCTGATCTTAAGGTGTAAAGGATTTAGTCAACTTAGTTTGAAAAACCTACAACCTACCTGTCATTCTAAAATTGCAGCAAAAGCATTATTCAGTTAAGAGTTAAGAGTTCCCTATTATGTAGCTTGAATAACCGAGAGAAATTTCAAATTCTGAAGATATTTTGATGCAAAGAGGGTTCAAATGATAAATGAGAGTGAAAATACCAAGACTTTTAGAACAAGGTTTATTGAGAAAGTGGAGATCTCTTGCAACTGGGTAAAATTTTCTGACTAAACTGCAATAGCCTGGGCTCTTTTTCGTTCAGCGGTGGAAGCGATATTCAATATGTCCTCCCCTTAACTTAACACTGTTCTAGTGTTACTGTATTTCTTAGTGAAAACCCTGCATTAACGAACATTGTGTTTGTCTGTCTATAAAGCCTGATGAACCTCCGAAGGTTTGTTTAAAGTTGACTTCATTGCAAAGTGCTGCGGCCAAGGAGGTCTATGCCAGAGTTGATTTGATCAAACAGTATACAGTGGATTATCCTAATCAGTAAGTATAGAATCCTTTAAATTTGTTTACAATCGTAAGGAGATAAGGGACGAAAACAAAGCATTTAAAAACACAAGGGATCCCAGATTAAGACAGTTCTATGACTGAGGTTCGATTTCTTCTTACTTCTTACTTTTTTATCATTATATAAAGAGTATTCTTCTGCAATTTTTTTTTACATAACTCTTCTGAAACCTATTCCCAAAGACTAGTCAACAAATGTTTGGATGTGCAGTAATTACATATATGTAAGCAGTTCTAATTGTGTGGTAGCCCGTTATTAGTATGTAGTCTAATATGAGGTATTAAGTCTAAGTATGAAGTAGAAAGTATGTTGTCTAAAAGTGTATGCACCTTTCCGTTATTTGGATTATAGTATGCTTAACTATTTAACTCCCAGAAGTGCTTATCATGTAACTTCGCCCTATAAATTATTCCTACATTATTCAGCAAACAGGTGATGAAAATACTCAAATTTACCAGGTAAAAGTTGGTAATCTTGATCTAATACTAAATTATATTAACTTATTTTACAAGGAAATGTGAAGTAGCTGGAGGAGAGGATGAGCAATCAAATTTTTTGTAGTTTGGAGTAGTTTAGATATCATGTCTGTGTAACATGGTTGGTCAGTTATGTTTCTAGTGCATGTTGTTTTACAGCCTATTAAATTCATTTTCATATTGTAAAAAGTCTTCTAAATAACTATAACTAATAATAACTATGTTTTATTTTACGAATCTTTCAAATTTTGTCATAAACTTGATCAGTTGATAAAAGGACTTAGTGTCCTGCGATCAACTCTATAATTATTATACCTTTGATTAACAAAACAAAATTCCCACTTCTGATTTTGCTAATTAATATTTTATGGCAAACAAAACTGGATTTCACAAGTTCCTATTACCATTCTATTTAATGGGAGTTTGACTAAGTGTTAAAGTGAAAAGCTAACCATTTAAGGCTGGTAAGGCAGAAAAGGTTACCCATGGGTAGTGCTGGTTCTTGCATCATGATGATAGATTGCTCTGTGTCATTTTTAGGAGTCCAAAGCTGTCTATGTGCAATGCTGAAGGTATTTCAGAGGAAGATGTAAATAAGCTTCAAACTGAGCTTTGCAAAATGGCTGCTGATCTTGTTGGTGAGGTGAGCTATACATGTACTGTACTTTTATGTTAAACACATCGACAGTGCTTGACAGTTTCTTCATTGTTCTAAGTCAAATGTGCGCTGTTTGGAAGTGACAAGGAAGTGAAGGGTTCTGTGGCCATAGATGAAAGTTACTATATTTATGCATATAATTAAAACAGTTTCAGCATATATACACAAAATTTTCTGGTGAAGTCTGCAAGTACCATTTTGTCAAAAAGTCGCCTTTTGGCGACCTTTAATTGTAAAATGGTTGCCATAAATTAGAATAATTTTGGTCGCCGATTGGCGATTTTTTTTGAAAGTTTAGTTGCCAAGTTGCCATATATATTCATTTTTCACTCAAATTAGTCGTATAAGCTGGAAATCACACATTCATTAATAAATAAGCATATTTTTTAATGCTACCTCTTTAACTCCCACATGCGATCCACTTGTAACTTCTCTCTATGGTATCCGTATGTTATCCAGCAAACAGGAAATGAGAATACTAAAACTTATCAGGAAGTAATTATCCTGATCTAACACAAAATTTCTTGAACCAACTTTCATGTAAAAGGAAATGTGTAGCAGCTAAAGGGGAGAATTTTTTTTTTTTTTTTTTTTTTAAAAAAGGGGAGAATTAACAATCAGATACATGTATGATGGGAGTTAAAAAGGGGCTTATGGAAAGTAATTCATGGTTGCATTGGTTTCCCTCACCCTAACCCTAAGATGGTCAACATCATATTTGTGTCTTTCAGATTGTTTTTTTTTTCTTGGTCTTTTTATGTATACTTAAGTTTCAACAATTTGACTCCTTTTGGTCAGTAACTTTTTTTGTTTTGTTTACATTCTGCTTGGCCTCTTTCATTTTGCTTTGGTTCTCATCGTTCAGTGGAAATGAACTTGAATTTATTTATCAGTCAGTTGTTGATGTTGATCATTGTCATTGTGAAATTTTCTTACTTAAATTTCATATACTGCCTCACAGGTTATGGTTCTGCAATTAGCACACCATGTTCAAACATGTCTTCACCAACACAACAAACCACAGTTATCACTTTATGATGAAATGATGGCTGACCAGCTTAAAGAGGAGGAGAGACTCCAAGCTGCTGAGCGTCAAAGACTGCAGATGGAGATTGAAGCTAACAAAGAGTGGGAAGAAAATGAGGTAAGGAGAATTTGTCCTCCAAAGTTTCTGTAAACTAAGGATTATTTTGCATGCCTTTGTAGGCCTTATCTGTAACATTATGTTCGTCATTTATTAGATCCTTAGAATATAAAGGGTGTGTCACCATAACAACTGGAAGGGATCTTTAACTCTTTCACTCACAAGATCCCAGTAGTAATTCTCCTCACTGTCTACTATGTGGTTTTTATGATGTTAGGTTGGAGAATTTTATCATATTGGATCAACTAATAGTTCCCTAATTTACATTTGTGTTTACTCTAATCGCTTGTCTGCTTGCTTTTGTATTGATATTGTAAGGAGAAATTCTTTCTTGGTCACTCATGGGAGTTAAAGTGGGAAGATGCTTGGAAGGGGTGAATAAATGAATTTTCGTCAACTCAGGTGTTTCAGCCAATGATTTTCTATTAAGAGAACAAACGACCGAGAACTGTTGTTATTCAAGTAAGGATTCTGTTTTAAAATTAACTTTATTTAGAGCGATATTCTATTGAGTTTCATAAAAACAAGAAAGAAAATCACAATGGGAAATCAAGAGAAGGGAAAATACCCTGAAGATTCCACGAGAACTCAGAGTAATAATAAGCAAACCGTCTAAGGCGCGGGAAAACGCCGGCGACCAAGTCATATTTGATGTCAATTTTGCATCTGATTGGTTGAGAGAGTGGCGCGAGTTTTCTGGACCAATCACAGAGCAGAGTAAAGCAGAACCAATGCAATCCCGGATTACTTTGGACACTCAATTAAAAATTTCTCTACTGGGCTTAAGACTATGTGCACTTTACTAAATCACTAGGAAAGGAAGACCAAGACAGATCCAGCGACTCAGAGTGCAAAGACAAAAGATCCTGACACCAGCCCAACAAAGGAAGTGCCACTTCAAATAAAACAATCTGGGAGTTCCACGGCACTTACTCAAGCTTTCCCGTCGCCAGAGAAAACAGAGGGAATGCCCTCTGGCAACAATGTCATGAGACGAAGGCGGAGCTCTGAAAGTGTGGATGATGAGTCCTTCACAGGGACACGAGTGATCCACTTCACCAGCAGAGGGGGGCATATCGTTTATTGTGGAAAATACCTTGGTAAAAAATACTTGACTGAGTGGGAGGGCCAGATGGGAAACTACATTATTTGGCCCGAATTCATGACGTGTGGACCGAGGGCAGTGAGTTCTGTGCGTCATGACCAAGAGGCAAATGTTTCCCTTCTTGAGCGACATAAGTCTGTACTAAGCTAGGAGGCCTATCCAGCCGTGGCATATGCCGGTTTCCATAGCATGAAGCGAATAGGAGTACCATTCCCCCCAATTTTGTTGTCTATCAAAAAATTTACTCGTGCTTATTAACACCAAATTGCACTCAAAAACCTTGTATATTATTGTTTTTATCGTACGCGGTTGTTTTGACCGAACGCACGGTTTGAATAAATTATTTTTGCACTTGATGCGCGCGCTTTGCTACTACTTAATCATGATAAGTTATCTCCTATTTTTTCATGTATATTATTAATACGTAATCACATGATTTTTCTCGTGCAATTTGGAAAAATAAGCGCTTGTTAGTTTTTTCAAAGACCACGAATTGCACTCGCCCTACGGGCTCGTGTAATTTTGTTAGTCTTTGAAACAATTTACTCGTGCTTATTTATTACAAATTATACTCGAAATCATGTGATTGCCTACACAAATTGTGCTTCAACCTACATACGAGGCGATTAAACACAAATAAGACGGGCGCGTGCAGAACGACTACCAAAATACTTTTTAAAAAAGAACTTGGCTAGCAGCCATCTCACTCTGTAGAAATCGGCTATAAATTAACGCCCAGATGTTGGCAAGATTGAGAAAGCGAAATTCACTGACAGTTGAAGTGCTGTTCAAAGGCTGGAATACCATTTAGGTGGTAAAAGCATCTTCAAGGAAGAAGCGTGAGTTGGGGCTATTTTGTTTTGTTTCAGGTCAGGGATCATCCGGTTCTAAAGTTTACAATGGCATGAACATTACCATAGGTGATCTTGTGGTGGTGTGTGAATGGATTTTGTCGTCACTTCATGCAGGACCTCAGATGCGACGCACGCTGAGTATCACTGACAACCAGCAACAGGATCCGCAAGCAAGGCTTTTGAAACAGGTCTGGTTATTAATTCAACTACTTCAGGTTTTTATTCTGTGATAAATTTAAATTTTAGAACACACAACTGACGCGGGAACGGGTTATACCACTGAAATTTTTTTGTTTTGTTGTTTGTATTGTTTTCTGTTATTTTTGTTTCGTTTTGTTCCATTTCCTACTAAACGGTATTTCCTTACAAAACAAATGTCACACGACGCAAAATTACAGATTTCCAGCCAAATTAAAAATAAATCTGATTTTTTTGTGCTTTGTTTTCACTCTTAGGTATTCAGTATAGAGCAGGAGACTTTGTCCCTGATCAACTGCGTCAGTCATCCAAACCTGACACACTATTTAGCCGTTAACGTCCAGGAAGAATCTCCTATTGTCAAAGTCCAGGTATTTTTAAGTATAAAGTATTCTAGATATGTATAGTAAATCCTGATTTTTCGCCTATTCAACTTAAGATTACGAGAAAAAGGATTAATTTGGAATATTTCGGATAAAGAGGTCATGGTGTCGGCCCCATCCAAGTGAGTATTCGTTCGCAAAAGTATAGGGCCGATTATATCAACAAAGTTTAGCCGTTTTTTACAAAATCGCGTTCTAAAATATCTTCAACCTAGCTGAATTTTTTATCTCAACAATTATTTTTGTGAAAAGTTTCAAGAGGGCCAAAAGCCAATAGAGGAAGGACATTGATTTAATAAAATCAACCTCTTATTGAGAATGATTGAGGCCCATTGCTTGCGTAACACCGCGATTTGGGTTAGACCTCTTTGAAATAGGCGGCCTATACTTTTTGGTGCGTTTTTGCTTATTATCCAGACTAAAACGCCCGAAAAACGTTCATGACAACGACTTCAAAAAAGTATCGCTTTTGGCTTCTTGTGGGAACGGGTGAAACAGCGGCTTTTGAAAACGATGACGTGAAACATTCCCTCGCCTCTATTCACGTTTTTAGGCGTTTTAATGTGGATGATAGGTGAAAATTGAACCCATCAAAGGTATACGTTTTCGAATGAAAACGTTAGGTAGGAAAAACCAAAAAGGCTAACCTGGCCTTTCGTTTTTTCGTGGCCTGAGGTTAACTGTCATATTACCTCCATTATCTCTTCATTCATTAGAATAAATAGGTGGCAAGAAGCCATTTTGAATATGTAACACTTAAATTTAAATTTCATGTTTCATTTTAACCTTTGTTCACCTCCATTAAGCGGTGCCCCTAAACTGAGTCCCAACGGCCTGTTTGTATTATCTTCCACCTGTATTAAACGGACATTAAAAGAGGAATTACTCAAACAAAACTAAGATTAATTTTTTTTAAAGTAAATTTTGATTTTTCTCTCCCAAAATCAAAGTAAATAGTGCTGTTGTGTATCGCTTTTTATAATAACCCTAATCTGCGGAACTTGTATGAGGCGGTCATCCCGCCATTCCCCGCGGGTAACTGTAGAATAGATTTCCCCACCCAAGCCATCCCCATACTTTTGTAATATAAACTTTTACCAGGGCGTAAATTTTCCCAAAACTATGCCTTATTTCCTCTCCTTTATAAATTCAGTAATTAATTATTGTATTTTTCCTTTCTTCCTTTAGGTTTTGTCAGAATACGTTGGTGGCGGCGATCTCAGTTTGCACCTCAAGAAAGAAGGGATGCCTGTGGCACAGCTACGAGAATACACTCAGCAACTTGTGGAAGCCTTGTGCTATCTTCACAGCAGGGCTGTGGTCCATAAGGATTTGAGGGTTAGTGAGACAGAGAGGTTCTGTCTATTAATTCATAACACATTCTTCTTGAAATCATCAATTTTGCCTATGAGATCCCCTGTTGCTCTAGATTCACTCTTTCTGTTTCGTTCACAGTTATCTAGTTGCCGCCTTGACTCTGACGGAAATATTCGACTGGCTGATTACAGTGTTGGGAAAAGGTGAGTTTTCTTTAGTAGCTAGAGTTGATAAAATTCGTTTTCACATAGCAGATCTGTTGACTATTTGTACCAAAGGTTCAACTTAATATAAATAGCCTTTTGTTAAGTGGTACAAATAGTTTTTTTTCAAACAAATTCCTGCAAATGACGTACAGTCAACTAACAACTTTTAAATTTTACCAAAGGATCCCACCGGTTGAAATATTACCTCCCATATTTTTGCCATAAGAAACATCTTAGTTTTCAAGGATTTTTTTCTTTAGATCATTCTTAGTTTTCTTTTTTGTTCCTGTATGTAATGGTTATTATAGATGCAGTATCTTCCGGGACGAAAAATTCCAAACTCTTGGAACACCCTGCTGAAGTCAAGATTAACCTTGCCACATTACTCCGCACCCCCTCCCATTTCTCTTCCCCTCCCCCTCCCCCCGCATGGCTACGCCTATCTCGGCGCCAAGTGACGTCAGCAGCGTAAATTGATGTTATGATGCCCAGTGTTGGATCAGTTTAATTTTACGTCCGTCAAAGAAACAGCGTAGTTGTTACAAGAACTAAGAAATTCCCGTAAAGTAGACAGGCGATTGAATATGTTCAAATAATATTCAAGGTTGTCGGATCTGTACCAAATGTATAGTGGGAATGTGAAAGAAACACAGAGTAACGCTGCAGACGAAAACAAAAAAATAACTTCTGGTTGTGGAAAGAAAGGAGATGTCTACAGTTTGGTAAGGGATAGCTTCGTGAAATCTTCTTCATGGGCCTTTGAAAAGCATGTGTTTCTCTGTTTTTCTTTCCTTAGCTTGATCCCCAATTTTGAGTGACACAATTCATCTGTAACACGCTTTCCTTGCGCGTGAAAATGCTTTCAATTCGAGGTATGACAGCGAAAGGCGGAAGGCGCGAAACAGTACGAAGCTGCAAACAAAACTAAGGGCGGAGCTTAGGGTTTGGGTTAGGGTTAGGGTTAGGTTTAAATTCAAGCAGCAAAAAAAGGGAAAAAAGAACTAAAACATGCAAACATGCATACTAAAAAGGTTAGGTTCAGCGTTATTTATTCCAACATAGAAGAGGCAACGAGGATGCTGAACCCACTTGAGATTAATCAAGATTTTAACACTAAGACTATTTTTTTTTCCCAAGGGCCTACTCGTTCTCTCTTTGGCTGTCGGAGATGTAATCTTTGTAGACGTGAAAGAAATATCTGCTTCATTGCCGTCAGATTTGCGAGACTTCCTTTTCAAGTAAGTGATATATCTGAATTCTAACAGCTAGACTCATTTTTCATGCATGACAAACTCCAACAATTCGCTATTATTCTGCAATAGTAGTTTAGCTCGTTGGCACAACTTGTGAGAAATGGTGGTGACAAAGTTCATGCAAGAAAATGATTCTCAACGAAAAGTATGAATAACTGCTTTTATAATTCTTCTTCTTCGCAGTTGCTTAAAGACCGATGAAAGAAACCGGTGGTCCGCATCTCAGCTACGCGAACATTCATTTTTAACCTCAGTCATATACGGTAGTTTAACGCACGGTCAACAGGAAGTTGGAAAGAACAGTGGAAAAGCAGGGGATGATGGGCCGTCACACCTGGTTGACCAACCGGAACGCGAAGAGCCTGTACCTGACTTCTCATACATCTCGGGAGTTCCTGGACAATCCCGAGTAAAATGCGAATTTGAGGATCTGCAGTTTCTTGGAAGAGGAGGTTTTGGAAGTGTCATTAAGGTATACTTGAGTTAATGGTGTCAGTTTAACTTGCAAGGACAAGAACAAGAACATCGTAAAATCTAGATCTTAATAAGGTTTGGATTCCATCGGCAAGATCGACCATACCTTTTATAGAAGACATGGTCGTTTGGTACGATGGGAACACACATGGGGCCGGCGAAGACAACTTTTTAATATGCTTATTTCTTGACTTGGTACGCTCATTGATGAAAACACGGAAGAGCGATAATGTCCTGCGATGAAGTAATCTGGTTTTTTTTGTCTTATCACGAGCTTTGTAAGTGAAAATTCTGTGGCCTAATGAAGAATCAAGCCACAGACCTTTCATATGTGACACGCAATCGCCATACTGCGGGAGTGAGTAATGTCGACAGCCTCGTGTGGGTGAATAGAATAAGAAAGGTGCTAGAAATGTTTAAACTTTGTTTAACAAATATAGAAGCCTCGACTGTGCTCTGTTCTGTTATAAAGCACGCAGGAAGCGGCTGGAGCACGAAAGAAGTGTAGGGAGAAACACGAGACGTAGTCGAGTGTTTCTCCCCACTTCTTGAGTGCTCTAGCCGCTTCCTAAGTGCTTTATAACAGAACAGAGCCCAGTCAAGGCTTCTCTATTTGTTTTATAATAAAGAATCCGTTAAATTACCCAAGCATTACTTTCAATTTTCACAACAAACTTTATTTCCAAAGCGAACAACAGTGTCGTCAGCATGCTGTATACTATCATAAAGCACGCTACAATAAGCCAATCAGAATCCCTGTTAGAATGGTTCAAATAATCTGATTGGCTGTACAAGACGTAAGCTGTCAAAATTTTCAAACCATCAAAGTTCACCTTCTGCGATGGTTTACAAACTAAAATAGTTCGGCAGGTCGAATTTAACACTTTTGCCTGAAGTTTTTAAGTCTCTAATACAGAATCTTGAAGTGAAATGTTCAGTGAACTTTAGCCGAATTATGGCTCATAAAAACACGCGAGTTTTTTCACATGACAAGGTAGAAAACAAACTGTTCAAGGCGAGTGTTTTTTGAATGAACGACAGCCGAATTCACTGGAACATGAAGATCGCTCGGGATGACAGCGCGGCAAAACTCGGCTGCAGTGACAGATGTGACTTTCCACTCAACGCATCGGAAAGGATATCAGAACAAGCTCTTATTTTTTCACTCGAAGGGCAGCCGATGTAGTTTCTGAGGCTTGCTTTACTGTGATGACTGGAGATCGCCACGATGAGCGAGCCGCGATGGACTTCAGCATGATCATATTCGCTTAGACACCGTCATGATTAGAATGAATTTTTACAGTTATGCCAGTTTGGTTATATTTTTCATCATTTCTGTTTTGTTCTGTTTTGTTTTTGAACACTGAACATTATATACTATATGAATGTTAGCTGTGTTTGATTTTTATTTTCGTACGTAACCTTGCAATCTAACTGAGCGTGAATCAGTCTTTAAAACTCGGAATGTCTATTTTGTTTTTCCTTTGCGGATTTTCGTATCTACTCACGTTTTAATAACAAACTTTTATTTGATTTTTCTATTAATTGCCGGCTCGCTTGTTCCGAAATTTCACTTTCAATTATCGGAATAAAGCTAAAAAGAAGTCCCAGAAAAGGTCGAACATGGTACAATTTGGCAGATGGCGTGACAGCTTTAACTCAGCTCTATGCTCTATACTCTCATAGAGCACGCTCTTTCAACCAATGACAGCGCGCGTTATATCCGAACTTTATTATAAACTGAAATAAAGGAGGACTCCACAAGTCAGTTCATATGCCATTCAGTTTAAATCTTTGTTGTTATTTCATTTATGCCTTTTTTTTTTGAAGGTACGAAATAAGCAGGACAACTGCTTTTACGCTTTGAAACGGATTCCTCTGAATCCAAAGAGTACTCAGTTCTACAGGACGATCATGCGTGAGGTACAGCTGATCAGCCGCCTGAATCACGAGAATGTCGTGAGGTACGCATTTAATGAAATCATTACAGACGGAGTTCGCGTTTATGCACAAATTGTGCGTACAGACACGCAACAAACTTCGGTGGAGCGCATAAACACAGAGCAAATCGGGACGTATGGGAGAAGATTTGAAATTAAAAAAGTTCCAGTAAAAATTAGAGAAAAAATACCACTGAGTAAACATATCCAGATGGTTAGATTTAAATATTTCACTTCAAGGAAAGGAGAACGAGCAAAGTGATTATGATGAGGCAATTTTAGTGTGGTAAATTTCGCTTGGTCCTCTTTTAAGCCAGTGCCTTTTACATCTGTAGCTAGGTGGTTTTACAGGCTCCCATAATTATTGCTAGTTTGAGAAGAAGAGTCGCATTGAGTTGGTGAATGGTTGTCGTAAAGGAAATACTGAAAATGAGAAATCTAAGGCGCCTTTTAAGGGAAACGGAGCGCAACGCAAGTTAAAACTGATATGTAATGTACTAATCCAGTACAGCTGTATTTTAATGGAAGAACACTTAGCTCTCTTGCCAGTCTACCAGCATTCCACTCTAATTATCGAAAACAGACTACCCAAATCAAATTTAGCATGATTGTTAAAAACCCTCATCAGGCAGCGGGTAAACCAGTTGGCTGTTGGTTGGCTATTGTCGAAGAGTTTAGTTCGAAACTACTAAAAAACAAATTTAACAGATATTTACAGCAAGACTCAAATGCAGAACCTCCGAGGGACGAGTCTGACCCGCTTACAACTTGCGGTTCACGCTGCCTTACTTCTAGTCACATTTTCCCTTCTGTAGATATTTCGATTCCTGGATCGAAAGCGCAGAGGACGTTGAAGACTCCTGGTGGCAAGACGACGAGAAAGGAAAGAACAATGAATCAGATTCGTCTTCAAGTGACTCGCATGAATCGATTTGTTGTCCAAGTAAATTAACACCATCTGAGATTCACAGTGTGTCATTCTTTAATAGCAAGTCTGAGTCGTCTGAAGGGGTGGTGTTTAGAGGAAATGTTGAAGCTTTGGTTCCTCAGTGTGGAGATCTGTCAGATACAGAGGTAAGGTGGTCTTGAAAAAAAAATATTAATCACAAAAAATTGACTTTTTAGTCGTGGCGATTTTCCATCAGGTAACTGCTAAGTAAGAGAGAAAGCTGTGTTGATGCTTTACTTCTGTAACCTTGTCGTTCCGTCCGATAAAGGTGACTACACAAGAAATGAAGAAATGTGAAAGTGGTTTGGGACATGGTGGTTTAGAATATTCCTAGGTTTTCTTGATAAACTACTCGAAATACTTTTGTCGAGCTTCCATGACAAACGCTGGTATGAAAACATATTTCAGTTGACAAACACCTGTAGTCCACTCTGCTTTGAATTCTCATTAGCTGACTGAAAAAAAAAAAACAATACAAAAACAGGGGGCTAACAGAAGTTTAAGAGTATTCATTGCAGGATACGTTTTAGCAATTGTTACATGCACAGAATACATTAGCTGAGGTACGTGATCACAACGTTACAGGATGCTCGGAAACAAACATACACCAGCCTCGTTCCTTTTTTTCCTTCTTTCTTGAAGTCCGAAGATTCTGATGAAGGAACGGAATGGCGGGAGACTGGAAGCGAGTCCAGTAGAGAACAGGTGGGACAGTACCTGTACATCCAGATGGAGTACTGTGAGAAGAGCACCTTAAGGAACCTTATTGACGAGGGCTTGCATGAAGATAAGGAGCGAGTTTGGAGACTTTTTAGAGAGATCGTCGAGGGCCTGGTACACGTTCACACTCAGGTGATGCACAAGCGCTTAGTCTGCCTTGATGTAATCTACTTAGATTTTCTTAAGCTAGAGCAATGTTCAATTAATTGTCCTTTATGAACGAGTCGATTACCAAGATCAACATTGGTTCTTGTTAGAACAGTGATAGCAGATCAGAACGTGGGTGACTCAGATGTTTCGCTGTTCCACGTACGGGGAAAAACGGAGAACATAACGCTTTCTTTCTTTATCTCCCTCTTTTTTTTTTCGTTGAACAGGGCATTGTTCACCGGGATCTTAAGCCCGTAAACTTGTTCCTAGATTCTCTCGGCCGCATCAAAATAGGCGACTTTGGCCTCGTAACCACCCACGGCATGATACACGGAGAAATGGGCACTGACGACCCAGATTCTATTGCTAATGGCCAGTCTCCTAAGATGAACCCAAGCTGTAAAGAGAGTATGGCAGGCGAGGTTGGTTCGACGCTGTACACGGCTCCGGAGGTGGGAAAACGGTTTGGCGGTCGAATGAAGTACAGTCAAAAGGTTGACTTGTATAGTTTGGGGATTATCTTCTTTGAGATGTGTTACAAGCCTTTCACAACCTCTATGGAGAGGGTTAAAGTTTTGGGAAATCTTCGAACGGTAAGCGCATGTTTACCCGTGCACTACACGCATGTAAGAACGGAAGAAATTTGCAATTTTCCCGCCCACTAGGAGGGATCAAAATAGCCAAAAGGGCGTTCTTGTGATCTACTTTCAAATGTTTTAACGTGAAGATGCTCCTCACTTTTTTTTTATATTCACTTTCCTGAGCCTAAATTGAAAAGGAAGTAGAATTATGCTAAACAATATTCCAAGTTTTTAGTCAAGCCTTGAGGGGCGACAAAGTCGTCGGTCTTTTCATTTCAGAACATTGATAACGCTTTTCATCAACTCGTTTCCTAATTAGGAAGGAATCATCTTCCCGACTGATTTTGACTACAAGGGCCTCGCTAAGGAAATCATCGTCCTGAAGTGGCTCCTCAAACATACCCCTGAGGAGCGCCCTACCTCACAAGAACTTCTTCAAAGCCAGTATGTCCCTTCTAAGATTGAAGATGGTCAGTTGGACGAAGTGCTCAAACATACGCTCGCGTCTACGAACTCTACTCGCTACCAGCGTATGATGAAGGCCATGTTCTCGCAGAAAGTCTCTTTAATTCAAGACCTCATTTACGATCTTGACGTTTACACGGGACAGGTTTCACCACATGCTATCCTCGTGCAGCAGATGGTTCACGAAAGCTTGAAATCTGTGTTTTTGAGACACGGCGCGTTACAGTTGAAAACATCACTTCTTATGCCACGCACGAAGTTATTTGAACAGCTGGAATTAGCTGTTAGCGTTATGGACCACAGTGGCAAGCTTATTACGCTCCCTTACGATCTCAGGATTCCGTTTGCGCGTTATATTGCGCGAAATGGGGTCGTGAACATGAAAAGGTTTGACATCGGTTGCGTGTATCGTGACACGAAGATTCTGGGCGCCCATCCTAAGGAACTTTACGAGTGTGTATTCGATATCGTCACAAGCTCGCCGGAAGACCTTGTGCCCGATGCCGAGGTTTTGTTTGCGGTATTCGAGATAATAAATAAGTTTCCTTCGCTTGGTTCCCGTAATTATTACATCAGGATGACTCATGCAGGTCTTTTGAATTGTTATCTGACTTCTGTAGGTATATCGGATGAGCGACAGGCTGAATTGTTGGCAATTCTGAAAGAAATTCGTTGCGAGAGTGACCGAAATGTTCAGATCAATACGTTTGTTGAGAGCTTACATTTAAGCGATCACGCAGCGACGGCGCTTGGGGAGTTCCTCAACTTCGAAGGCCCTGTAAATAAATTACGCGAGCATCTGATTGATACCATGAAGCGAAAATCTTCGGTTGGCCAGTCAACGCGGCAAGTTCTACACGATCTAGAAGCCATCACGCAGCATGCTCAAACATTCAAGATTGATCTTCCTGTGAAAGTCAAGACATCTATGGTTTATAACCACCAGCATTTCTCAGGTTTGATTTTTGAGTTTGTAGCCGCAAATAACCAGAAACGGAAGCGAGGGGGCGTTGATACTCTGGCCGCTGGAGGACGATACGATAAGATGATAAATCAATTCCGCCGGGAAAGAGAAGCTACTAACCCCTCCTCCGGAGCGGTGGGTGTCAGCATCGCGATTGAAAAAATTGTAGCCGCTGTTTTGGAAGAAGAAGACGTTACTTATCTGTGTCCTTATGATGTCATGGTTTGTTCAGCTGGGCGTAACCCAATGCAGACCGAGCGCATGCGTATTGCACACGATTTGTGGGAATGTGGGATCAAAGCAAATATCTGTTATGATTCAAAAGACATGGTATCTCTGGAGGAGCAACAAGAGTTTTGTAAACAAAGCGGAATTCAACATATAGTGGTGTTGAAAGAACAGGATGCTGGACATGTGAGAGTGAGTGAATTGAAAAAAATTGTCGCATTTCGTTTTCATATATAGTTTGTCAATAAGCTTGTCCTTCCATCCATATTCTGTTGTTAATGTTTAAAAAAATGCCTGTAGTCACTGTTAAGTCATTTATCTCGCAGGTGCGATCTTTTGACAAAGGAAAGTTCACCGAGTCTCGCGTACAGAGAGCTGAACTTGTGGCCCATCTTCAAGCGAAGTTCTCTACAAGGCCTGAACCGACTGAGTCCTCCGCGCCGTTGGGTAATAAAGGGGCCAACACGCAGAGCGGTAACGAGACGAGTTCCACAGTTGTTCCAGAAATGAAGGTCTCATTTAACACCCAGGAGAAGTGGGCTTGGAACACAAAGCGGAGATACGAAAGCTTGATGATGTCCAAGATTAAACCTCTTCTGACTCACATCAGTTCTAAGAATGCCGTGGAAGTTATTGCGGTGAGTCTGGGGAGTATGTCGTTTTAAGTGTTGATTTGATGTTTCACTTTAAATTGTACTTTTACGTTGGATTTACGGTTGGGAACGGTACTCCTGTTATATGCTGTGCTGTGCGACGTGTAGTTTCCATCGCAGCCAATGTTTTGGATGTCACGCAACCCTCTTTCAGAGCGAGCATTGCGTAACATCCCATAGATGAACTGTTTTAAGAAGGTAAGTTTATAGAGAAACTGCGGTGCTGCGTCGGTGCGAGGGGTTGGGGGGGGGGGTTGTGGGGGTTATTACAACATGATTTGGATTTATCAACTGAGTTGAGTAATGAAGAGTTTCTACAGCTGATGAAACTCTCAGAGACTCTTCACGGTGACTAATTTACTCTATCAACTCATTTGATAAAACCATATTATATTTTCTTGTTGTTGTTGTTGTTGTTGTTCTTAAACTCTGATTGGTCGAGTATCACGTTACATTTCGCTATAATCACCTTGCTAGAGGTGATTACAACAGGAGCACCAAATTTGAAAATGTTTTGACATTTTGTCAATATAAAGGTAGACGTCGTTTTAGAAAATTCAACTCTGAAGAGCTCAAAAGATGCTACTAAAAACGCCATGCAATGATACGTGGTTACTTTCCCTCATCTGTCTCCTTTTCTCTCAGGTTGACCTGCCTGGTGTTGTTTTGCGCGACATGTCCGTAATGCTTGATCTGGATGCAAGTCAGGACGCATTTGATGCTAGCGTTGCGACCATTGCGGATAAAACCCCGCGTTACAAGAAATACCTTGGGCGCGTTTGCAACGACATTCGGGACCTTAAAGTATCCAAGAAAGAACCAGTAGTGTTCGTCTATAGTGTAAAAGATGAAGTGGTCGAAATATTTTTCTAGTCGAAATTTTTTACGAATATACACCCTTTTGTCAGAGCGTACAATTTTGTGTCACTCGTTAGATTAGCGCAGGATGGGTCACGCAATCCTCGTGTTGGTATACAGTTACATAAGTCACACAACTTATGTAATGGTAGCTATTATTACAGAATGCTAAATGTGCAAAATGATGCTTAATGTACGTGGTTACTAGAACCGTAAAAAAAAAGCCAGTCTTGAAGACTTTAAAAGTAATAGTTTTGTATAACAGTTTAAGAGATGGATGAATGAATGATAAAGTAATGATTCATCTCTCGATTCTTCAACGTTGTGTGCTTTTGGTTAAAACCGATGCCTTTTCCGATGCCTTCATTGTTTAATACAGCAGCAAAAGATATATATGCCATCAACACTTTTGAAAAAATTGCAAAAAATTTAATTAGCGAAGGATACTGGTTAACATTTCGGCTTTACAAAACTATTGTTTTCTGCAACTACAACTGATATGTATCCATCTGAAGTATTAAATTTGTTTCCCCGCTGACCACTCGTATTTCGGTCTTTTCTCCTTTCCCCGCTCGTCGCCCGTGATGTAGTAACTCCCTCAAATTTCACTGATCATCTGCCTCTATTTCCGCCATTTTGAAAGTGCTAGTTCCCAGGGACTCTTGTCTTATCTGACCTCCGGTCATTTCTATTTCTGCTTCCTCATCTTCTAGTTTTAACGGACATTTTTTAGTTACATAAGGTCACGCGTGAATGAGTCTGGAAAGCGATGTATGCTGCACAACATCGATGTATGACATCCAAAATCGATGTATCCCAGATGAAATTGATATATTTTATAACGACTTGTATCATAACGCATAAAAATAACGTAATTAAACAAAACATTAATGTATCCACGTTCGGATATTTTGTCCGTAAAAAAACCTCGTAGAAACGAGCTCTGAAATCATTCTAAACGTCATTATCTCGTTTATAAGAGCACAATTAACACATATTATATGCGTTTTGATCGCGACGGGAAAACCAGCGAAATGTCGTCCTGAACTTGATGGGGAGAACGGCAACGCTAACACCGCAAGTCGAAATAGAATCGTGTCCAGATTATCCGCGCGTTTTCCCCTTCTGAATTTGGCGGGAGACGACGGCTACATCGGTCCCAGCTTCCCTCTGCCACTCCAGTCGCAGTCGCCCCGAAAACTTCCACTCTAATATGACACTTGTGAGAGACGAGAGACGGAAAGCAGTATGTATCATCTTCCTAAACCAGATGAGCCCACGACATACCAGCGGCATCTTGTATGAGTATCCGCAGGTTACAATATGCTTCCGCTTATTCTTGTTGAAGCGTAGTCAGACCGTCACTAGATCATGGCTACCAGCTCATCGCAGTTAATCCTGAGATGCTATCGCTGTTAGTTATTTTCTCTAATCAGGAGCTAGACCAAAGTAAGTCTTTATCTCATTTACATTTACGATGTTTACCTTTTGTCTGTATTATTGTGCAATCGCTACAGTTTTAGTTAGGTTAATGTCGCATTTCGCAACGCGTTTTTCATAGCATAGTTTCTGTTGTATTTTACTTTAGTTCGAACCACAAAACCTCACTCGCTACTTCGATCAAATATAAATACGTCCCTGCACTGTCTTCTACAATTATTAAAGACATCTTCACATTATATGTGCGTTCGAATTGTCTACTCAGCCGCTCGGGTAACTTTTTGAGGTTTCAGTGTACACTATCGGTTTCAATTTTGGTGATTGTTCATTGTTATTGCTTTGAAAGCGCTTAAACCAGGGGTAAATTTTGAAGCTGAAATGAAAGAAGGGAAACGAGAGGTATCAAACAGAACATTTTTCTAAAGAGTTTTTTTTTCGGCGACGGAGATCGGGAGTTGTGGTCAAATATCACATATCTGCGTCTATGTTCGTCTAAAAGAAAGTTAGCTTTACTGATATTGGGCATTTGAGGAGGTTGTATCGAACAACCTGTCCACTGTACAGGATTCTTAATGCCTTTGAAATGGGGGAAAGTTATATCAAACGACAGGAAGGGGAGCTTCAAGCTCTTCAAGCTATTTTCACGGACAACTTCCGCGATTTGAGATTAGAGGTAATTTATTTATTAAAGAGTAACTGACTCCAAAATTTTCCTTTTCTTTGTCCCAATACATACCTCTTAGGTCAAAGAATCCTGAATGAGCAAATAAACGATATATTATGCAAAACCAAATTTTCTACAATTTTTTTTGACGCTTAATCGACGGCCAATTTGAAAACGAGTTTGATTCAAGTCACATGATGTAATACGTCACTCGTGTGTAAGGCAGTAAAAAGCGTCATGTCAAGACCTGAAAGTAACAACATCGCCCTCGCTGTCCAGCCACTGCCGAAATTTACTAGTGGAAAAAAAATAAGATTTGTTCCATTGTGATATAGGCCACCATTTAGAGACTATGAAATACGAAGTGAGAAATAAAATAATGATGGTTGAATAGTTGAAACGCAACAAATCGCATGTCTGCATTCAGAGCCACAGGTAATTTGCACACCATTCCAAACAGCTGTAAAAAATATATATATTCTCATAATTTTTTCCTCTTAACCATCATTGCATCCTATACTCAAAGAAATATTTTTTAGTCCATGCTGAAAAGTATTTGACTTTAGGTTTTGTCCAGTGTATGTCACTGTGACCACAGGCCCATCAGTTCTGGAGTGAGCGTGACTAAGCACAAAGTATTTTTGCATATTATGGGAGGTAGTTGTCTGGTTTCATGAACAAAACTCTTCTTCCACCTTCTGGAAATTTACAAGAATTATTCTTTTTCATTTTATTTTTTTTAAATGGAGACTAGTGAGCAGCACAAAGTAAGACTTCTTGCCGTTGTAACTTTTTGTTAATTTCTTTTGATGCGTTTCATCTCTAACTAAGAGTTCTCTAGGAATGATTGCAGCAGCATATATAGCACATTCGCTTGTCTAAGTTTAATTGACTCCCAGTGAAAGTGTATAATAACAGAAACATGCTGTAAACAGATGTTGCAAGAAATGCCTTGTTATGAGCGCCACACTCTCGCGTTGTTTCTCATTTGCGACCAGAAACATGATGAAATCAATCCTGTCAGAAAGGTTACTTGTTTCAAAAATGCACCTCTGTCATCTGAGTGGGCAGTAAATTACTCATGCTAGTTTATTTTAAATAGAATAAGCCGACAGCCTGAGAGGCACAAGTCATGGGACCACCTAGCTTTCACCATCTAAAATGCAGTGCTTTGGTAAAAAAGGGAAACAAGTCAGCGACAAACTCGTGCTATGGAAATAACGTGCACGTAATGTTTTTCAAATTGTGACCCGAAATGTATATATATATATATATATATATATACATACATGTATATATATAAATATATATATATATATAACTAACTGCAGACAGTACTGTTTCGGCCTTCTGGGCCTCATCAGTGTAGTACTGAGGCTATATAGCCACCCCAAGTGATCGCACACATGTGGGATCATCTAAGCCATGCCAGAGTGCTCAAACTAGAAAAACTAGTGAGCATGCATATTGCTAGCAGCAATGACTCATCCTAGTAGAGTGCTCAATTTGGACATGAAAGCAAAGCTTTGTATGCCAAAGAGCTATATAACTATATATAGGAAGTCTACAAGTGGATTTTCGCGTGGAACAGTGCTCAATACGTTGAAGCAGAGCAGAATAAATATTATGAGTGGGAAAAAGGGACGCAACTACATTTCCCGACAAGCCTGTTTCGTGAATCGCTTCACTCTTCAGGGGTTTAATGAAAGAATATTCATATGACTATCGTGTATATACTAGGAAAATTTGCATAATACGCGGTAAACTTAAAAACTTTAAAATTCAGCTGTTGCGTAGCAACGCCTTGTTTCTGTGTCGGCATGGAGATACGAGTTCGTTACGCTTATTTAGTGATGAGAGGTCGGGTCGGTAAATTATCAGGAATTTTTTTTTTCTTGGCCGCTGTGATTGATATGTGGACTATATGTTGAAAAGCTCACGAGAAAAAGTACAGTGTTAGAGCAATGAGTACTTTATGCTTATTGAATAGGAACGAAAATGCATGGCTTGCCAATATGGCTACCACTAATGCTCTTTTGCGTGGTCACAGTGTGTGTTGAAATGAACCTGCTATGGGTCCCCTAGGTGTGAACATTTGGGCTTCTCGATTCAAGTTGCATTTTTAGAAGTTTGGAAATGTGATTTGAGGTTATTATTTTTATTGAACCTTATAAACATTTTATTTCTTTCCACGTGAGTTTCTGAGCTTCATCAAAATTAATTTTGACTTTCACTTAGTGGGGAGGGGTAGCATGCGAGACTACTTCTGTTCATGGTCCACAATGCAACTTCTGTCCACGGTCAACAACTGCGGTCAACATCTGCTCCATCACAATACCTCATTCATTGCTTTCAGCACGAATGAGCAAATAAGTTGTTCAATACTTCATTTATGAATGCTATTTTTTGCTGCATCGTGTTTTAAAGTAAAAGCTGAGAAATCTTTTATCATTTGCCAAATTCAACACTGGAAAACTTAAAGCCAATTCAATTGCATGGAAAGGTGTATGATCCATCCAATTCAATTCCACAAGCATGTATGTTTATATTTTCAGTCAGGGAAACCTAATAGCTTCAGAAGGTGCGTGAGTGTGTCACAAAAACACTTTACTCCTATGATATTCAAGAGGCTACACATTTGGTTTTCTTTCCTCGATTGCTCTTACATTTAATAAGCGACTGATTTTCAGATACCTTATTTACAAGCATAAATGCACTCACCATTCTTGCTTTCTTAATTGAGGCAGCTGTGGCACATGGGCACAAAGAGGCATTCAAAGCACCTTGCATCTGTTTCAATGTGTTACCTGAGGCATTTAGACAGTATTCTGAAGAAGTGACATTTTAGCCGTCAGTCACCCTTTAAACAATTACACCTAATTGATTAGGGATGAAGTCTTGGGAACTCGCCATAAGAATTAGGGAGCTGTTTACAATCTTGCCTATAATGATACTGATGAATTATATAGTAGTTCAGGTTTTAATCTTTTGAAATACGTAGGAATTTGCCTGGAGCATAGATTAAACTGTGTCAACTTTCAAGATCAGAGAGTAATGCTTACAATGGGTAGTAAGACAGCTCAGAAGGGGTATCAAGACTTGTTTGTTAGAGAATTAGATTCACTATGTCACACTTGTAGTGTGTTAGGCCATTTTAATGGTCTCAAAGACTGGTATTTTCAAGATGTCACTTTTTTAAAACACTATATTATATGTATGGAAGTAATGAAGCTCAGACCTCATTTCCACTTCAATGTGCTGACAAATCAATTCTGGTTGCTAATATTTTCAATCTTGCTTAGCAGCCTGGCTTTATGTCTCCTTCACACTTCATCTCTCTGGCTCACCTCTCTTTTTGTACATCTTCGCAATCTCTTCAAGCTAGTGCAGGGATTTACTTGAAAAAGCATTTATTATTATTATTTGCAATAAGTAGGGCAAGATTCATTTGTGTTCTGCACGTTGTGGCTTTTCCATATTTGTTGCACAACCATAGCAGTAATAAAAATTAACTTATTTCTAGAGCATTTTTCAAATCTTCAATCCTTGAGGGTTATAACTGACTTATAATTTCCCTCTAAGGCATCACTGCTGAAGCAAATATTAGTCTTATGAGGATTAATTCTTCTCAGTGCCCTAAGAAGAGTTTCAAGAACAGTATGGAGAATAAATATGCTGATCCTAGGGTGTAAAGGATTTAGTCAACTTTAAGTTTGAAAAACCTACAACTTAGCTGTTATTCTGAAATTGCAGCAAAAGCATCTTTTCTTTTTTTCCCAATTTAAGTGGTCCTTATTATGTAGCTTAAAGAACCTAGAGAAATTTCAAGTTCTAAAGATATTTTTGATGCAAAGAGAGTTCAAATGATACATGAGAATGAAAATACTAAGACTTTCAGAACAAAGTTTATTGAGAAAGTGGAGATCTCTGGCAACTGGGTAAAATTTACTGGCTAAATTGCAATAGCTTGGGCTCTTTTTTGTTCAGTGATGGAGTGAATATTGAGTATGTCCTCCCCTTAGCCTATAACACTGATCTGTTGTTACTACATTTCTTAATGAAAACCCTGCATTAACTAACATAGTGTTTGTCTGTCAATAAAGCCTGATGAACCTGTGAAGGTTTGTTTAAAGTTGACTCCATTTCAAAGTGTTGTGGCCAAGGAAGTCTATGCCAAAGTTGATTTGATCTGATGCATTATGCTATGGACTATCCTAATCGTTAAGTATACAGACTCCTTTGAATTTGTTTACAATTTCAAGGAGATAAGGGACAAAAACAAAAACAAAGCATTTAAAATATGCAGTGTAGGAATCCCAAGGGATTCCAGATTAAGAGAATCTTTTGGCTGAGGTTCGATTTCTTGTTACTTCTTACTTTTTTTTCATCATTATATGGAGAGTGTTCTTCTGCAATTTTTTTTACATAATTCTTCTGAAACCTATTCCCAAAGAATAGTCAACAAATATTTGGATGTGCAGTGATTTCATATATGTTAGCAGTTCTAATTGTGTGGTAGCCCGATATTAGTATGTAGTCTAAAGGAAAGTGAATGCACCTTCCTTTTATTTGGATCATAGTATGCTTAACTATGTAACTCCCAGAAGTGCTTACCATGTAACTTCTCCCTATAAATCATTCCTACATTTTTCAGCAAACAGGTAATGAGAATACTCAAACTTATCAGGTAGAAGTTAATAGTCTTAATCTAACACCAAATTCTATTGACTTATTTACAAGGAAATGTGTAGCAGCTATAGAGGGGAGAATTAGCAATCAGATCTTGGGGGTTAAATGATTGTTTAGATATCATGCCTGTGTAACACAGTTAGTCAGTTATGTTGTTAATGCATATTGTTCAACGGCCGATTGGGTTCATTTTTATGTTGAGAAAAGTTGTCTAATTTGCAATATTTTATGTGTGATTACATGTTTCTTCAACAGATGGGGATAATGTCTCTCAAATTTTGTCACACTTTTGATCAACCAATTAAAGGACTTGGTGTCCTCCATTTTTATGCCACATTCATACTGTCTTGTAATTAACAAATGAAACTCCCACTTCTAATGTCGTAAATCAATATTTGATTATAAAAAAAGGGATTCCACTTGGTATATTACTATTCTATATTGTGGGAGTTTCACTAAGTTTTAAATAAAAAGGCACCCACTGAGGGCTGGGAAAGCAGAAAAGGTAACATATTGCTGATTCTTGGATCATGATGGGTTGCTCTCTGTCATTTTTAGGAGTCCATAGCTGTCTATATGCAATGCTGAAGGTATTTCAGAGGAAGATGTTAAATCTTTCAAAAATTCGCTTTTTGGCAACATTCATTAAGAAAATGATAGCCATAAAAACAATTTTGGTAAGACATTTCATGTCCAAGTACATGAACTAGGAAGTAAGCTGAACAGTGAGATTGCAACTTTTGCATTTGCCAGCTTGGTATGCTAACTCCTCTGCTGATTAAAACAGTCAAGAGAAATAGCATAAAGAAACTGATATCAGGAAGCAGAAATTATTTACTACAAATTTGCTGGGATTCAGTAACTGACAAATCAGGTTCATTATTATTTTAGTGTATTTCTCAGCTGAGAAACATCTCCTATTTGAACTGAGCTGAAATATTGATATGGAAACCCTCCATATTGTAAATAACATCTTGAAACCCTTGATATTTAGTCACCACACTTATTACTGCAAAGTTGAACGTTAGACTTTAATGCTGCAAATAATGTAAATAAAGTTGATCTCAACAAAATCACTTCAACTTGGTCACTGCTAACTTAAGGATTACACATATTCGGGAGTTACAGAAAATTTGCTGGTTGCTGATCAGCGATTTTTGTATAGAATTTAGTGCCCAAATATATTTTTCACTTGCCATGGCAACCAAAACGGTTGCAACTTGGAGCACTGCTGTCATATACTAGTCCTATGCTACAGTGTCTTTTTAAGTCTTTCTCAAATTAGTCGCATAACCTGGAAACCACACATTCGTTAATAAAGTAGTGTAATTTTTATGCCAACCCTTAAACTCCCAGAAGTGATCCACCTGTAACTTCTCCCCATGGTATCTGTACATTACTCAGCAAACAGGAAATGAGAATACTGAAACTTATCAAGTAACAGTTATCCTGATCCAACACAAAATTACTTTAACCAACTTGCACTTGAAGGACATGTGTAGCAGCTAGTGGGAAGAATTAACAATTGGATACATGTATGATGAGAGTTAAAAGGGCTAGTGGAGATTAATTCATGGTTGCATTGGTTTTGCTTACCCTAACCATAAGATGGTTAACATCATATTTGTGACTTTCAGATTGTTTTTTTTTCTTTAGTCTTTACATGTATACTTAAGTTTCAACAATTTGACTCCATTTGGCCAGTAATTTTTTTGTTTGTTAGCATTCTGCTTTGCTTCTTTCATTTTGCGCAGGTTCACATTGTTCAGAGGAAATGGACTTGAATTTCAGAGCCAATGGCATTCGCTCAAGGAGGCTCGAAAGGGTTTTTCGTTGTTGCAGTGTTTGTGAAACGATGGAAGATTACAAAGAAGGATATCTAATGGGGTGGGCATGTCTCCTTGCAACTCTATTCCTGGGCTATACTTTGAGAGTACTTGTGACGTCATATCAGTTACCATGGCAACGTACAAGGTCCACAAAAACGTCCACTAAATTTTAGTTTTTGTAAATTATCTGAAAAACTAATTCGGTGACCTACCATTTTTATTTCTTTGTTGGAAAGTTCCCTAAATTCTTTAACTTTTCACACAGTATGGAAAAAATTTATCCAGTAGAATTAAATATATTTAAAGAAAATGCGACTTATGGCTTACAGAAAATTCTAGTAGATAATTTTTCCCGAAACTTTTATATTTGAAGTGCCATCGTGAATGGTGCGTGCATGCAAAAAATCAAGATAGGTCACCGAACAAAATTTCGAGCTAGAAACAAATGTATTTCGCAGATTTTATTTCCGGTTCGCGCAATTTCAAGCAACATTTAACTTCCGGTGTGCTGATTTTGATTCATTCAGCTGACGCGTGCATCTTAGTTGCGGCGCGTGCATCTAAAAACCCTTTCGAGCCTCCTTAAGTTCAATTTATTTATCAGTCAGTTGTTGATGTTGATCATTGTTATTGTGAAAGTTGCTTTCTTAAATTTCACATACTGCCTCACAGGTTATGGTTCTGCAGTAAGCACATCATGTTCAAACATGTCTTCACCAACACAACAAACCACAGTTATCACTTTATGATAAAATGATGGCCGACAAGCGTGAAGAAGAAGAGAGACTCCAAACTGCTGAGTGTCAAAGACTGCAGATGGAGATTGAAGCTAACAAAGAGCGAGAAGAAAATGAGGTAAAAATAAAATTTGTCCCCCAAAGTTTCTGTAAAGTTAGGATTATTTTGCATGCTTTTGTAGGCTATATCTGTAACATTATATTCGTCATTAATGTGATCCTTAAAATATAAGGGTGTGTCAGCTGGAACGAATCTTCAACTCTTTCTCTCACAAGATCTCAGTAGTTATTCTCCTCACTGTCTACTATGCATTTTTATGATGTGAGGTTGGAGAATTATATCAGATTGGATCAACTAATAATCTCCTAATTTACATTTTTATTTATTCTCATCACTTGTCTGCGTGCTTTTGAATTGATAATGTAAGGAGAAATTCTTTCTGGGTCACACATGGGAGTTAAAGTGTGAAGATGCTTGGAGGGAGAGAATAGGTAAATTTCGTCAACATTAGTGTTTTAGCCAATGATTTTCTCTTATACTGATATTTTTTTAGAAACCTGAAATAGAAGAAGAACTACAGAGGAGAGATGAAGCTATGAAAGAGAGCAAACGACGGAAAAATGTTGTTATTCTAGTAAGGATTCTTTTATTGAGTTAGCTTTATTTTAGAGCGAAAAAAATCACAACAGGCAATCAAGAGAAAGGAAAATACCTTGAAGAGTCTTGGAGAACTCAGAGTAAAAATAAGCAAACCGTCTAAAGTGCGGAAAAAACGTTGGCGACCAAGTCGTGATTGAGGTCAATTTTGCATCTGATTGTTTTAGAGAGTGGCGCGAGTTTTCTGGACCAATCACAGAGCAGAGTAAAGCAGAACCGATGCAATCCCGGATTATGTTGGACACTCAATGAAAAATTTCTCTGCTAAGCTTGAGACTATGTGCGCTTTACTAAATCACTAGGAAAATAACGCCAAGACAGATCCAGCGGCTCAGAGTGCAAAAACAAAAGATCCTGACACCGGCTCAACGAAGGAAGTGCCACTTCAAAGAAAAAGATCTGGGAGTTCCACGGCACCCACACAAGCTTTCCCGTCGCCCAAGAAAACAGAGAGAATGCCTCCTGGCTACAATGTCATGAGACGAAGGCGGAGCTCTAAAAGGCTGGGTAATGAATCCTTCACAGGGACACGAGTGATCCACTTCACCATCAGAGGGAAGCATATCGTACATTGTGGAAAATGCCTTGGTAAATATTACTTGACTGAGTAGGAGGGCCAGATGGGAAACTACAGTATTTGGCTCCAATTCATGACGCACAGACCGAGGGGAGTGAGTTCTGTGCGTCATTACCGAAGGCAAATATTTCCTCTTCTCCCTTCTTGAACGACATAAGCCTGTACTAAGCTAAGTCTGAACCAAGCTAGGAGGCCTATCCAGCCGTAGCTTATGCCGGTTTTCATAGCAAGAAGCGACTAGGATTAGTACTATCCCACCCAATTTTGTTGACTTTCAAAAATTTACTAGTGCTTGTTAACACCAAATTGCACTCAAAAACATGTTGTTACCTATACAAATTGTGCTTCAACCTACATGGGAGGCGATTAAACACAAATGAGACGGGCGCGTACGGAACGACCACCTTGCCAAAGTACTTTTTTAAAAAGAACTTGGCCAGCAGCCATCCCACTCTGGTCCCACAATCGGTTTTAAATTAACGCCCAGATGTTGGCAAGGTTGAGGAAGCGAAGTTCACTGGCAGTTGAAGTGCTGCTCAAGGGCTGGATTATCATTTAGGTGGTAAAAGCATCTCGTGCAAGTATTGATTCTTGCAGGATAGACTTTCCAGGCTCTCTTGTTCAAGGAAGGAGCGTGAATTGAAGCTATTTTGTTCTTGTTTCAGGTCAGGGATCATCTGGTTCTAAAGTTTACAGTGGCATGAACATCACCACGGGAGATCTTGTGGTAGTGTGTGAATGGATTTTGTCGTCCCTTCATGCAGGACCTCAGATGCGACGCACGCTGAGTATCACTGAGAACCAGCAACAAGATCCACAAGCTAGGCTCATGAAACAGGTCTTGTTATTCATTCATCTACTTCAAGTTTTTATTCTGTGATTTATTTAAAGTTTAGAACACAACTGACGCGGGAACGGGTTATGCTTATGCAATTTTATTTTATGTTATGCGATTTTTTTGTTTTGTTAATAAATTATTGTTTTGTTGTTTGTATTGTTTTCTTTTTTGTTTTTATCTCGTTTTGTTCCATTTCTTACTAAAGGGTATTTCCTTCCAAAACAGTTATCACACGACGCAAAATTACAGATTTCCAGCGAAATTAAAAATAATTCTGATTTTTTTGTGCACTGTTTTCACTCTTAGGTGTTCAGTATAAAGCAGGAGACTTTGTCCTTAATCAAACGCCTCAGTCATCCAAACCTGACACACTATTTAGCCGTTAATGTCCAGGAAGAATCTCCTACTGTCAAAGTCCAGGTATTTGTAAGTGTAAAGTATTCTAAATATAAAGTAAAGCAAGATTTATAATCTTATTACCCTTTATTTTTAAAGAAATCTCGCCTATTCAGCTCAAGATTGCGAGGAAAAGGATTAATTTGGTATACTCCGGATAAAGAAGTCTTGATATCGGCCCCATCCAAGCTTTTGAGTATTCTTTCGAAAACGCATAAGACCGATTATATAAACAAAGTTTACCTGAAAGCTACTAGAAGAAGAGTGTTGATTTGATAAAATCAACCCTCTTATAGAGAATACCTAAGGCCCATTGCTATGCGTATCGTTTTTGACACTCTCCTCTTCTTGTGGGAGCAGGTGAAACAGCGGCTTTTGGAAACGATGACGTAAAGCATTCCCTCGCTTCTATCTGCGTTTTTGGGCGTTTTAATGCGGATGATAGGTGGAAATTTAACCCATCACAGTTTTACGTTTTGAATGAAAATGTTAGGTAGTTGTGTTGGCACGTGAAGGAAAAACCAAGAAGGCTAACCTGGGTGAAAAATATTTTGATTCGTTTTCTAATTGCCGTTAAAACGGACAAATTTGGTCGTGGCCTGAGGTGGTTAACTGTCACATTACCTCTATTATCTCTCCATTCATTAGTATAAATAGGTGGCAACAAGCTATCAGGAAAAAGATATGAAAAGAAAGAAAAATTTGAAGGTTGCTGAATGCCCCTGTTTAATCCATGTAACACTTTAATTTATATTTCATTTTACAGTTTAACCTTTGCACTGCATTTAGCGCTCGCCCTTTATTAAGCGGTCAGTTGTCAAAGTCCCGAATTACTGTTTCCCCTTAATTACTGTAAGTTTACCTCTATTAAGCGGTCACCTCCATTAAGCGGTCTTTTTGCCCCTATATTAAGTCCCAACAGCTTGTTTGTATTATCTTTCACCCATATCAAACGGACGTTAAAAGAGGAATTACTCAAACAAAATTTAAGGTTAATGTTTTGAAGTAAATTTTGATGTTTCTCTCCCAAAATCAAAGCAAGTGGTATTTTTAAGCGAGATTCTGGCACAGTGCCGTTGTGTATCGCTTTTTATAATACCCCTAATCTGTGGAACTTGTATGAGGCGGTCATCCTGCAATTCCCCGCGGGTGAATGCTTAGTACAGATTCGACTGTAGCTCCAACCATTAGAATGGATTTCCCCACCCAAGCCCTTCCCCTACTTTTGTAATATAAACTTTTACCAGGGCGTGAATTTTCCCAAAACTATGCCTTATTTTCTCCCTTTATAAATTAATTAATTATTGTTTTTTTCCTTTAGGTTTTGTCAGAATACGTTGGTGGTGGCGATCTCAGTTTGCACCTCAGAAAAGGAGGGATGCCTGTGGCTCAGCTACGAGAATACACTCAGCAACTTGTGGAAGCCTTGTGCTATCTTCACAGCGGGGCTGTGGTCCATAAGGACTTGAAAGTGAGTGAATCAGAGAGGTGCTTGTTTATTATTCATTACACATTCGTCTTGAAATCGTCAATTTTTCTTGATATCCCTGTTGCTCTAGATTCACTCCTTCCGTTTCATTTGCAGTTATCTAGTTGCCGCCTTGACTCTGACGGAAATATTCGACTGGCCGATTACAGTGTTGGGAAAAGGTGAGTTTTCTTTAGTAGCTAGAGTTTATAAAAATTCGTTTTCACATAGCAGATCTGTTGACTATTTGTACCAAAGGTTCAACTCAATATAAATCGCCCTTTCTTAAGTGGTACGCATATTTTTTTCAAACAAATTCCTCCAAATGATGAACAGTTAATTAACAACTTTTAGATTTTACCAAAGGATCCCACCGGTTGAAATATTACCTCCCATTTTTTTGCCATAAGAAACATCTTAGTTTTCCAGTATTTTTTTTTTCTTTAGTTCATTCTTAGTTTCATTTTTTGTTCCTGTATGTAATGGTTATTACAGATGCAGTATCTTTAGGGACGAAAGATTCCAAACTCATTGGAGCACCCTGCTGAAGTCAAGGTTAACTTTGCCTCATTTCTCTATACCACCTCCCATTCCCCTTCCCTCTTCCCCTCCCCCCGCATGGCCACGCCTATCTCGGCTCCCAGTGACGCCAGCGACGTAAATTGATGCTGCATTGCCCAGTGTTGGATCAGTTTGATTTTACGCCCGTCAAAGAAACAGCGTAGTTGTTGCAAGAACTAAGAAGTTTCCTTAAGGTAGAGATGAGATTGAATATGTTCAAACAATATTTAAGGTTGTCGGATCTATGCCAAATGTATGGTGGGAATGTGAAAGAAACACAGAGTAACGCTGCAGACGGAACCAAAAAAATAACTTCTGGTTGCGGAAAGAAAGGAGATGTCTACAATTTGGTAAGGGAGAGCTTCGTGAAATCTTGTTCATGGGCCTTTGAAAGGCATGGGTATCTCCGTTTTTCTTTCCTTAGCTTCATCCCCAATTTTGTGTGACACAATTTATCTTGAGCCACGCTTTCCTTGCGCGTGAAAATGCTTTCAATTCGGGGTATGACAAAGAAAGGCGGAAGGCGCGAAACAGGTACGAAGCTGCAAACAAAACTGAGGGCGGAGCTTAGGGTTTGGGTTAGGGTTAGGTTAAAATCCAAGCAGCAAAAAAAGGGAAAAATGAACTGAAACACGCAAACATGCATACAAAAAGGGTAGGCTCAGCTTTATTTAATCCAACATAGAAGAGGCAACGAGGACGCTGAACCCACTTGAGATTATTCAAGATTTTAACACTAAGACAATTTTTTCCCCAAGGGCCTACTTGTTCTCTCTTTGGCTGTCGGAGATGTAATTGGCTTTGGAGACGTGAAAGAAATATCTCCTTCATTGCCGTCGGATTTGCGAGACTTCCTTTTCTAGTAAGTAACAGCTCTGAATTCTAACAGGCTGGACTCATTTTTCACGCATACCAAACTCCAACAATTCGCTATTATTTTGCAATAGTAATTTAGCGCGCTAGCACAACTTGTGAGAAATGGTGGTGAAAAAGTTCATGCAAGAAATTGATTCTCAACGAAGAGTATGAATACGTGCTTTTATAATCATCCTTCTTCGCAGTTGCTTAAAGACCGTTAAAAGAGACCGGTGGTCCGCATCTCAGCTACGCGAACATTCATTTTTAACCTCTATCATGTACGGTAGTTTAGCGAACGGTCAACAGGAAGTTGCAAAGAACAATGGAAAGGCAGGGAATGATGGGCCATCACACTTGGTTGACCAACCGGAACGCGAAGAGCCTCTACCTTGCGTCTCATTCATCTCGGGAGTTCCTGGACAATCCCGAGTAGAATGCGAATTTGAGAAGCTGCAGTTTCTCGGGAGAGGAGGTTTTGGAAGTGTCATTAAGGTACACTACGTTCATTGGTTGAAACACGTAAGAGCGTCAATATCCTGCGATGAAGAAATCGGTTTTTTTTTCGTCATATCTCGCGCTTTGTACAGTAAAATTCTGAGGCCTTATGAGGAGTTAAGCCACAGACCTTACATAAGTGACACGCAATCGACATACTGCTGGAGTGAGCAATGTCGACAGCCTCGTGTGGGAAAATAGAATAGGAAAGATGCTGGAAGTCTTTAAACCTTGTACTGAAATAAAGGAAGACCCCACAAGTTCATACGCCATTCAGTTTTAATCTTTGTTGTTATTTTATTTATGTATTCTTTGTTTTTTGCAGGTGCGAAATAAGCTGGACAACTGCTCTTACGCTGTGAAGCGGATTCCTTTGAATCCAAAGAGTACTCAGTTAAACAAGACGATCATACGAGAGGTACAGCTGATCAGCCGTCTGAATCACGAAAACGTCGTTAGGTACGCATTTAATGAAATCAGTACAGACGGAGTTCTTGTTTACGCAGAAATCGTGCGTACAGACTCGCAACAAACTTTGGTGGGACAAGTAAACACAGGGCGAATCGGGACGCATGGGAGAAGATTTGAAATTAAAAAGGCTCTGGCAAGAATTAAAGAAAAAATGCCACTGAGTTAACATTTCGTTTAGTACAACCGTATTCCAGATCGCTAGATTTAAATATTTCACTTCAAGGAAAGAAGGACGAGGAAATTGATTATGATAGGGTAATTTTTAGAGAGGGTAAATTTCGCTTGGTCCTCTGTTAAGCTAGTATTTTTTTATACATCTGTAGTAAGTTGGTTTTACAGGCTCCAATAATATTGCTAGTTTGGGAAGAAGAGTCGCATTAAGTTGGTGAAATGGTTGTCGTAAAGGAAATGTTGAAAATGTGCATTCTAAGGCGCTTTTAAAGGGAAACGGAGCGCAACGCATAATAAAACTGATATGTAATGTACTTATCTATTACAGCTGTATTTTAGTGGGAGAACACTTAGCTCTCTAACCCGTCTACCAGCATTCCACTCTAGTTATCGACAACAGATAACCTAAATCGAATTTAGCATGACTATTAAAAACCCCATCAGGCAGTGGGTAAACCAGTCGGCTATTGGTTGGCTATTGTCGAAGAGTTTAGCTCGAAACTACTAAAGAACAAATTTAACAGATGTCGTACAGCAAGACTCAAACGCGGAACCTCCGAGACACGAGTCCGACCCGCTTACAACTTGCAGTTCACGCTGCCTTACTTCTAGTTACATTTTCCCTTCTGTAGATATTACAGTTCCTGGATCGAAATCGCTGAGGACGTAGAAGACTCCTGGTGGCAAGACGATGAAAAAGGGGATAGCAAGGGGTTTAAAGGAAATATTGAAGTGTCGGTTCTTCATTCTGGAGATCTTTTAGACACAGAGGTAAGGTAGTCTTGAGAAATATAATAATAATAATAATCATTAAAAAAATTGAGTCGTAGTCGTGGCGCTTTTCCATTAAGTAACTGCTAACTAAGAGAGAAATCTGTTTTGATGCTTTACTTCTGCGACCTTGTCTTTCCTTCCGATAAGAGTGACTACACATCGCTTTAAGTGTGAAAATGGAGGGGCTTTGCAAATCAAGAAACGTGGAAGTGGTTGAAGACATGGTTGGCTATGAGTATTCCTAGGTTTACGTGATAAACTACTCAAAATATTTTTGTTGAGCCTCCATGATAAACGCTGGTATGAAAACATATTTCGGTTGACATAAAACTGTAGTCTACTCTGCTTAGAACTCTCATTGTCTAACTGGAAAAAACAAAAAACAGAAACAGAAACAAAACAAAAAACAATAATAAAAGAACAAAAAACAAGGGGCTAACAGAAATTTAAGAGTGCCCATGGCAGGATACGTTTTAGTATTGTTACACGCACAGAATACATTAGCCGACGCACGTGATCACAAGGTTACAGGATGCTTCGGAAACAGGCCGGCCTCATTTTTTTTTCTTTTTTCAAGTCCGAAGGTTCTGATGAAGGAGTGGAACGGCAGGAAACTGGAAACGAGTCCAGTGCAGAATACGCGAGACTGCAGTACTTGTACATCCAGATGGAGTACTGTGAGAAGAGCACCTTAAGGAACCTTATTGACGAGGGCTTGCATGGAGATAGGGAGCGAATATGGAGGCTTTTCAGAGAGATCGTTGAGGGCCTGGTACACATTCACTCTCAGGTGATGCACAAGCGCTTAATCAATATGTCACATGTGTGATGTAATCTGCTTAGATTTTCCTTAGTTAGAGCAATGTTCAATTGTCCTATATGAATTCGTCAATGGCGAAGCTCAACATCGGGCTCTTGTTAGAACAGTGCTAGCAGATCAGAACGTGAAATCCAAACGCCTTAGATTCGATTTCTCGTAGGTGACTCAGATGTTCTGCTGTTCCACGTACGGGGCAAAACGGAGAACATAACGCTTTCTTTATTTATCGCTTTTTTCTCTTTACTGAACAGGGTATTATTCACCGGGATCTTAAGCCCGTAAACTTGTTCCTAGATTCTCGCGGCCGCATCAAAATAGGCGACTTTGGCCTCGCAACCACGCACGGCGTGACACGCGGAGGCATGGGCACTTACAACCCAGATTCTATCGCTAGTGGTCAGTCTCCCAAGATGAACTCAAGCTCTAAGGAGAGTATGACAGGCGAAGTTGGTTCGACGCTGTACGCGGCTCCGGAGTTGAAAAAACAGTCTGGCGGTCGAGTGAAGTACAGTCAAAAGGTTGACTTGTATAGTTTAGGGATTATCTTCTTTGAGATGTGTTACAAGCCTTTCACAACCTGTATGGAGAGGATTAAAGTTTTGGGCAATTTACGAACGGTAATTGCATGTTTACCCGTGCACTACACGCGTGTAAGAACGGAAGAAATTTGTAAGTTTCCCGTCCTCAAGGAGAGATCAAAATAGCCAAAAGGGCGTTCTTATGTTCTACTTTCAAATGCGTTAACGTCAAGATGCTCCTCATTTTGTTTTTATTCACTTCCCTGAGCCTAAATTGAAAAGGAAGTAATTATGCTAAACAATAGTCCAAGTTTTTAATCAAGCCTTAGAGGCGACAAAGTCGTCATTCTTGAGCATTAATTATGCTTTTCATCGACTCTTGTTCTGTTTGTTTCCTAATTAGGAAGGAATCATCTTCCCAACTGATTTTGACCATGAGGGTCTCGCCAGGGAAACGATCTTCCTCAAGTGGCTCCTCAATCATACCCCCGAGGAACGCCCTACCTCACAAGAACTACTTCAAGACCCCTTAGTCCCGGCTAAGACAAGAGATAGTTACTTGGACGAAGTGCTCAAAAGTACGCTCACTCTACGAGCTCTACTCTATGAGAAAGGCCTTTTTTTGTTTTGAAACGTGGATTTAGTTCAAGACATAACTGACGATATTGAACTTTACATGAGACAGTTTTCACCACATGCTCTCCTTGTGCAGCAGATGGTTCACGAAAGCGTGAAATCCGTGATTTTGAGACACGCCGCGTTACGGTGCCCCTCGCACGGAGTTATTTGAACAGTTGGAATTAGCTGTTAGCGTCATGGACCACAGTGGCACACTTGTTACGCTCCCTTTTGATCTCAGGATACCGTTTTCGCGTTATATCGCGCGAAATGGGGTCGTGAACATGAAAAGGTTCGATATCGGATGCGTGTATCGGATGCGTGTATCATGACAAGACGTTTCTGGGCGCCCACCCCAAGTAACTTTACAAGTGTGTATTCGTTACAAGCTTACCGAAAGACCTTGTGCCCGACGCCTAGGTTTTGTCTGCGGTATTCGAGATATAAACGAGTCTCCTTGGTCTATGGTTTATAACCACCAGCATTTCTCAGGCTTGATATTCCAGTTTGTAGCCGTAAACAAGCGGAAACGGAAGCGAGGGGGCGTTGACATTCTGGCCGCTGGAGGACGATACGATAAGCTGATAAACTATTTCCGCCTGCTAGGGAGAGTCCACTCACCCCTCCCGTCACATTTCGTTATAATCAACTTGCTGAAGGTGATTAAAAGGTTGGTAGTATTAAGGGCACCCAAGTAACTATGGTACGGATAGATAATATGTAGTGCCCTTTTTTGAATTGACTCGAGCTTATTTGAGAGAAATTCAGGAATATCCTGCCAGACTTGTGCGCCATACTCTAGTAGAGGTCTTATTATTGTCAAATAAACTTTGACTGTTCCCTCTCTATTAACACCCACTTTTTTAAGAATCCTCAGGTAATAAAGGCGTTTCGTAGCTTTTTTGGATATGTAATCAATATGTTCGTTCCACTTCAAATCGTTGCTGATTATAATACCGAGTAATTTATAAGTTGTCACACATTCAACTGTGTTGTTACCTATAGTCCAGCTGTTATCGACCAAAAAAACACTGAATTTTTCAAACTCATGGTAAAAGCATGAAACTTTGCCACAACACTTATGACCCTTAAACTAACATTTTCTGATATAAGGCCAATCCAAATTAACTTCTGGTGTTAAGAACCGCGCATGTCAGAAATTCGCTAACATGGAAACGAGGCTAAGAATAAAAGATCCTCTTTAACGACATTGCTTAGGAAATTTGCGACAAAAGCCTTCAAACATAACAACCGAGTCATTTTCTATCCATTTGCATTCATCTTATGCCACCATCCTCTTTGATATTTATCATAGTGTGTGGGTGCCCTGTGGTCAAACGTTAAATATACCTGTTTACGTTATTTTCTGAATCACGATTGGTAAAACTTGTTTACCTTAGAAACATAAAGCTTACGTCTTTAGTTGATTTGACATTCTCGTCCGTTACTTTAGTAAAATTAACTGGCTATTATAAATAAGCTTTGGTTAACAGATTTCGGATACCTGTGGTAAATTGTTCAGCTACACTTCCCTAGACGGCGCTTTAGGTGAAATCCTAAAATGTTCTCCTATCTAACCAAAATTTAACATATGTTTGGTGTAATGCATAATTCTTAGTCGATCTACTCTGGTCGTTAGTGACACCTTTGTAAATATTTATGGCTGTTTGGAAGTCGCCGCTACAGTTGCACAAACCAACAAACCAGTGCATGCCAAACTAGCCTTTAAGCACTCGCATAGTCCTCTACATGAGGCTCTGGATCCGCATCAAATAAGTTCGCGACAAGATTACTTTGCTTGCGGTTGAGCTGTCCAGAATGGTGACCATGAGTTGTTAAGCTGCTGCCACCCCCTGTCTGATGGCTCGGAAGCACTGGTTGGTGAAAGAAGGTTTGGCCCCATACGTAGGCTTTATTAAGTACATGGACCATGAGGCGAGTATCTGCCTCTTCATGCGCGCAAGGCACAAGTAATCTCATCCCCGTTCTTTCAGTACTCGATAGGATACCACCGCCACAGGTAGAGTAGATGCTCCTACCCTCGAAGTTAGGGCATCTCCTGCTCGTGCGCATCCTGCGGATAATGCCAATGTTAAAGGGGAAGGATGCGCAGTTGGTCTCTCGGAGAATTCATCAGCTTTGGGAAGATGGATGGTGGCTGGTCCTGAGCTCTCCAGGATGATTCAAGAGTTCGAAGGTAGCAAAAATCAAACAGAGGAAAATGAACATCATGAGCAAAAGTCAGGTATCCAGAATGCTTCTACAAAGACGTACTGAATACACTATCTTCATTCAAGAACTTGGCAACCCGTTCCTAGAAGGAGGAGGAAACCTGATGGCGATCCATATCTGGGATATCATGGATGATACGGTGGTCAAAACTGTTCGCAATGTCACAAAAAATTGGTGAGAAACAGTCGAATTCGTTTGCCAATGAGCGACTCGTCGAGAGAAGCAAGCCTGTTACACAACCACTCAAGAAGAATAATCTTCCCACTTTCACGTCGACGAACAAGAAGACCGTTTCAAAAGACAAGACGAAAGTGGAAGTTTTGAAGGATGACTGTGCTTCATTTTTGCGGCTTTACATAGCTTGTCAAATTTGTGATGGAAACGCGGAAGATTTCTTCAAGTATGAGAACCAACTGTGGCAGCCACCACTTTAGCAGCTTGGTCAGCTTAGAGGAGGACAGAAGGCAGACTTGGTGCTGTGTTTGCCCAGCACATCAGCAGAGATCGCAACTCAACCAGTCGCTGATGTAGTTATTCTTGATGGAAATGCTGTTGTATAGATGCCACAGCCAAGAACAGCACGCACGTTTGATGAATACTTAAGTACCGTGTACGCCCCTTACATCCTCAAACGCCTGGAAACGACGAGAAGGGCTGACTTAGACTGGGATGTCTATCAGGATGATTCACTGAAGAGATCATTGCGAGAAAAGAGAGGCTCTGGACAAGGGCACAATATACAAGCATCAACAAGAATTCCTGCTTACCGGAAAGGCTTTCTGCAAGTGGTTTAATCACAAATATTGATATTCATTTTATTGAAGGCGGTGTCACTGAAGGTTCCGGAGGGTAAGTGCATCTACTCTACCTATGACGAGGGTATCCTATCTAGTACTGAAAGAACGGAAATGAGCTTACTTGCGCCTTGCACTCATGAAGAGGAAGATACTCGCCTTACGGTTCATGTACTTGATGCAACCTCAAGCGGACATCGATGAAATAGAATTAGAAACAAAGATACCGATGTTGTTGTACTTGTTATTTCAGTGGCTAGTACTCTTCCAACAGATGAGCTCTGGATCACCTATGGATCTAGAAAGAATGTACAGAATATCCCAGCAGTGTCCCTGGGTCCTGATAAAGCGTCGACCCTATCAATGTTCTATGCACCAAATGGGTGTGATACTGTTTCGTCTTTTAGAGGGCGTGGAAAAAAAAACGGCTCGGGATGTGTGGAACTTGTTTTCATAACTGACACCAGTGCTAAAAGTCCTCAAAGCATCACCGCAAGAGATCGCAGTGGAATGCGTGGCCGTGCTTGAGAGGTTTGTTGTCCTTATATATGACCGTAAAGCAGCCTTACAAAAGTAAACGAGGCGCTATAAAAGCTCTTTTCAAAGAGGTCTAGAAGCTTAGACAGTATCCCTCCCACTGGAGCATGACTTGAGCAGCACGTCATAAGAGCAGTGTTCCAAGGAGGCTATGTATGAGGCCAAACCCTCCTTTGTCAGCCAATGCTTCCAAGCCCATCAGCCTGGGGGTGGCGACAGCTCAACAACTAATGGTCACCATTCTGGACAGCTCAACCGCAAGCAAAGGAATCTTGTCACGAACTCATTCAATGTGGATGCAGAACCTCATGTAGAGGTCCATGCAAGTGCCCAAAGGCTAATTTGGCATGCACTGGTTCGTGCAACTAGAGTAGATCGACTAAGAATTATGCATTACATCAATCATATGTTGAATTTTGGTTAGACAGGAGAACATTTTAGGATTTCACCTAAAGCGCTGTTCAGGGAAGTGTTACAAGAAATACCTTGAGCGCGTTTTCTTTACAAGAAATACCTTGAGCGCGTTTACGACGACATTCGGGGACCTTAGAGTATCCAAGAAAGAACCAGTAGTGTTCGTCTATAGTGTAAAAGATGAAATGTTCAAAATATTTTTCCAGTTGAAATTTTTCTACGAATATACGCTCTTTTGTCAAAGCTGCGCTTTTGTATCACTCGCTAGATTAGCGCAGGATAGGTCACGCAATCCTCGTGTTGGTATACAGTTACATAAGTTACGCAACTTATGTAATGGTAGCTATTATTACAGAATGCTAAATGTGCCAAATGATGCTTATGTACGTGGTTACTAGAGCCGTGAAAACAGCCAGTCTTGAAGACTTTAAAAGTAATAGTTTTGTACAACAGTCCAAGAGATGGCTGAATAAATAAATGATAAAATAATGATTCATCTCTCGATTCTTCAACGTTGTGTGCTTTTGGTTAAAATCGGTTTGTGACAGTCAGAGTCGGTAAAAGTCTCCTGTACTAACTCTGTGTCTCGCTCATTTTGAAATTTGATACAATCTCGTCAAGGACGTCTTACGACGTCTTACGTCAGCTCCATTCTTATGATTCGAGAAATACGCAGCTTTGCCTAGGGCCTGGTAATTTAGTGTTAACAACTGAGTTGAAAACGTAAGTTAGCCACCGTAAAGAGTAAAAAAGCTAACGTTTCGAGCGTTAGCCCTTCGGTAGAGCGATTGGTTTTGCTGATTGGATTGATTGCATGATTGGATTTGCTGACTGAGAGCGGGAAATGCTAAAAGGATATTCATTTTCACTGATGATGTGGTAGTGGAGGTAAGGTAATTGCTGCGGTTGCACTTATATTATGTTACAGTTTATTAGATGGCGCTTGACTTTCTCCCGAGGTTAATACCTATGACTGCAAAGCTTCATTTCGTTTCCTTCTGCAAGCCTTTTGGATCTCATTAGGCTTCATACCTCACTTTCTGGTCGTCTTTCGGCTATACTGTGAGACGAACAACCGGTGCACTTTTGCGCTGGAAATTTCCTCTGATTTTACTCAAGATAAGTACACTTCCGGAGACACTAAAGATTTTCAGCCACAGCAAGGGTACCTTCACAAATGCCAACTGCCTTATAAACAGCGCACCGATACTTCAATTGACGCCCAGTTATGGCTGGTGCGACAACTAATGGCACTTTACTGTGACTACTCTTCACAAATTACTCTAAATCGTTAGCTGCTGCTTGCATGATAGCATCGGGCTCATTCAGTAACGCCTCTGCATAAGTGACCATGTCTCTGAATGTGCTCATAGGAATCACATCGGGGAGAACATCGAATTCATCGGCTTCAACTGCTAGAACTTTTGGGCTTTGGATGTCACAACGCAAGGGTGTGGCCTCCTTCGCTTTCTCCCCGTAACTGTGCATGCTAGACGAGAGGGCAGTGACGCTACTGGTAATGAGAGGGCACAGCGCATCTGTGAAGAATCGCTTTAGAAGGGACTTTTTTTCAACTAGAAGCAAGTTTTGTGTAGTTATAACTGAGGGAAAAGGCGGTGTAAGCATTTTCCAACCTTATGCTCCTTCCCCGAATAAAGCTTTGAAGAAGGACTCTGCTTTTCGGACTTCTTAATGCGGTCGTCAGGCCGCCATCTTTGTGACTGACCCCATAAACAATTTTTATCAATCTCAATCTTTGACATGTAGTGCAGCCATACAATAGGGTTTAGACCTAATCCGCTTAAGGCTTTTTCTCTTTTCTATTTGATGCCTTTTCCATTTCATCCCATTACTTTTTGAAAAGAGCAGACTTCTGGTTAAATTCTACCTAGCTTTCGCAGTCGTACATGCAGCCATCTTCCCTCATCATTCGCCCACCTAAAATGTCGACTACTATGATCTTTCTCTGCTGAACAGGGAAGTTAAGTTCTGCCAATTTATTTTGGATATTTTCCAGAACGTGCTCTAGCTCTAAAAGACGAATGGTATTGGTTGTTTCTTAAAGAATTCCTTTAAACTGAGCGCTTCATCCTTCGTCTTAATCGGAACCAAGCTTGTGTATACCTCTTAGCTGGCTGTTGGATCTTTTGACAGCTTGCCAGAAATTATGTTCATTTATGTTCTTTAGCTTATAACCATATTAAACGCCACTACCCTTCTTTTTCTGTTTACGTTGCCATGACGGTTAGACAATTTAATCACTCACCAATATTAATTACGTACTCTTTAGTTTTTTTCTTCAGTTCCTTTTTCTCTCTGTGACTCTTCGTCTCTAAAGGTCTCAATGGACTTATATCATAGACGTGAAATGGCCATAAAATTTAGCCATTAGGCGTAAAGTTTACAGATTTTAACCAATAGCCGTAAAAAAGTTAAAGGTAAAAGATTTCCGGTGACAGCAATTGAATGATCTTGATGCTAACCGTTAGCCGTTAATTGGCCAAAATTGTAACTGTTAGCCTCTTCTGACGGATTACGCACTTTCCTCCGGGAAAACAGGATCGGGAAAAGCCAGGTACTTACGCTCGCAAAAGAATCCAAGAAAGTGGCTTTTACTTGGGGTAGGAGAGAACAGACACGTTATCACAGTGGAATGTGCTGCACATAAAATTAATCACCTTAGAGTAACCTTGAAACATGAAAATGTGTGATGTGAGATTAGTTTACTCGCATGTATCTTAACTTTGTAGTTTGGAAGTTTGGAAGTTTGGAAGTGTGGAAATCTGGAAATATACAAATGAGTCTCTCCTCACTCTCGGTAGAGTGTGGAAGTGTGTCTTTACCTTACTCACATTTATCTTAACTTAGTAGTGTGGAAGTGCGGTAGTTTGGAAATCTGTTAATATGCAAATGAGTCTCTCCTTACTCTCGGTAGAGTGTGGAAGTGTGGAAATCTGGAAATATGCAAATTAGTCAATCGTCCGCCATCTTGATCTTCGAACTTCACGTGAACATACGGCGTGGAAAGCATAAAAACTGATTTAAACACCCCGTTTAGTGATCGATCAAGTTCTCATTGCTATATTTTGAACAATCCAACCTCAATTTACGGGTAATTTTAAGTTATGTACCCTGAAGTTGAACAGATTGTTATTCAGCAACGGTAAGAGATCAGCCGCGACGATAATTTTACCTTTCACAGATGTTTTTGGAGCAAGATAAAGGCGAGAAAGCTCTATTTTCAAGGGTTTTTTCGCTTTTAACAGAGGCATTTATAAGAACTATGCTTTAAGAGCCCAGCGAATACAATCTGAATGAATAAGTAAGTCTTGATCGATGCATGTGGCTACCAGTTGTGTTGCATCTGAATAAACAATCATGCGCAAAACGGCAGTGCCTTACAATTCGTGGCTCGTTTCAATTTCTTGTAGTGACATATATATCAACACCTTAGTAAATTACGCCCTATGAATCTGAACTTATGCTTCTTTTCTTCAACATGTAACTCTTCTCTTTCCTCATTTTTGTGGCCAAATTGTTTACTGATCTTGTAAACAGGAGCTGGTGTGTGAATGTTGCCATCATTAGTCATACTGGTGAGCTACACACGCAATCTTTTAACGAGAGTGCTATATTTACTTCACAAAGATAACTTAAATGGTACACAAAAATTAGTATACTTTTAGCCCATTTACACCAAAGCTTAAAAATCTTTTAAAGTTGTTTTGTTGAAAACGGTTTAATTTTTTTTTCTCCGTAGAAACTACTTGACCTAAAATTTTCTTTACTTAAAATGAAGCACATTGGAAATGCAGGTTAGCAAGTACTTGAATCACGTGGAAAAATCAAGTTTTTTCAGTTCCCTGTTTATGATTTTCATCCTGTAAAAACCAGTTTAACAAAACATGTTTTGCTGTGTTTCAATCCCAGTCACTTATCACCTCTTCATTCGACTGGGTTTTCCACTAATGTGTGACTCTCTTTTAGTAGAATGCCACTTTCTAATATTCAGGCAGTAATTAGCAATTTACATTGCTGGGAATTGATAAGGAAGTAATGATTTACCAAGCTGCTCAGAAAAATTGTTTCAAATTTTTTTTGTGAATGATACAGATTTATTTGCATAACAAGGGACCATTAAACACTACGGCAGGGTATGAAGTCTGAACCAAACACAATTAACAAACGTTGTAATATCAACAAGTTATCTATGCACATGAGTAAAACACGTTTCATTCAGGCATATTGTTTTTTTAAAAATATCATTGCCTGAATAAATTTATATCACGATTTTTTTTTCTTTTGAAGTGACCCCATTTATGGAAGAGATGATTCTTAGCCATGTCTCTCTTATTATTTCTGTTGAGAGTTGAACAAATTCAATGCAACCTGACTCATATAGAACTCCCGAAACAAAGTTCCTTGATGAAACGTGAATTGAATAAATCCAGAGACCCTCTTTCTTGGAATGACTGATACTGGATATGACAAAAAATAGTCTGAACAATTATGGATTGAAGCTCCTTGCTTGTCAGCTTCTTTTTAAGACTATGACAAATGCAGTAAGAAGTAAGGCA